AGATAGCACTCCGATTAAAGTAGTAAAAGAGGCTAAGTTCTTGGGTCTTATTTTTGACCACCATTTAACGTTTTTACCTCACATAAAATATTTGGTCTATGGTGGAGCCTGCAAAAGGAATCTTAAACTTTTGGACTCTATCCACCATCAAGGTCTGAGACTCTGTCTTGGATCTTTCCGAACTTCTCCTATTGACAGTCTGTACATTGAGGCTGATGAACCATCGCTCAAACAACGCCGAATTAAATTATCCTTACAATATGTCACTAAATTACGCTCTAATAACTCGAATCCAGCATATGACTGTGTTTTTCACCCCCTTTATGAAAATCTCTACAATAAAAAGTCATCGGTTCTCCCCCCACTTGGAATAAGACTTCAATCTGATATTTCTGCCGCTAAAATTAATCTTGATGCTATAGCCCCCACGCGGCTTTTGTCTTCTCCACCTTGGCAGTTAGTAAAGCCAGAGGTGGATCTAATCAACTTATTTATCAACAAAAATATAATGAATTAAGAAACACGTATAATACTTACAAATCTATATTTACAGATGGATCCAAGAATAGTGGCGCTGGCAACAGCGCCACTGTCATTGGATCCAGGACTATCTCCTCCAGATTACCCGATAAAAGTTCTATTTTCACAGCAGAGGCCCATGCCATTTTAACAGCTTTACAATATATCAGTAAACAGTCAAAATATCAGAAGTTTATTCTATTTTCCGATTCTCTTTCTTGCCTGCAGGCTATCAATAACATATCATGTCAACGTCCACTTTTAATCAACATTCTTGAATCATTTAATGAACTTGCTACTGGCCAATACGACATCGTCTTTTGTTGGTTGCCCAGTCATGTGGGCATCAAAGGCAACTCAATGGCTGATGCTGCTGCAAAAGCAGCACTCAACAAATCTGTGACACCACTTCTTATCCCATACACTGATTATAAACCTGTAATCAGATCTTATATTTGTGATCTGATGCAAAAGAAGTGGGACTCCCAAGTAGGTATCAATAAATTACATGAAATTAAACCAAATATTGGTTACACCTACTTGGGTTGTCAGTCCAGATTTGAAGAGGTCATTATGCGACGATGTCGTATTGGCCATTGCAGGTATACACACGAATATCTTTTAAAAGGTGAGGATCCTCCATTTTGTATCCCTTGTGATGAGAGAATCACCGTCAAGCATGTCCTGCTTGATTGTGTTGATTTTTCCATCACAGGGGATCAATATTTCAAAGTTTCATCCTTAAAGGATCTTTTTAATATTAGTGTTCATTTAATTTTTGACTTTTTAAAAGAAATTGAATTGTTCCTTAAATTTTGATTGATGTGTTTTGTATATAGTATAGATTTTATAATTGGTAAAATAAATTTGATAACTGAGATTGTTAGTGGCTGTATCCTCGAAGGGGGTTGAAGTAGTGTAAAATTATTGTCCCCCTGAGAGGGTATGTAAGACCACGTCTTTCAAAGTATATTTATTTTGGCCACATTTTTAATAGTAGTATATATGTTCGTTTACCTTTGGCTAAATTTGTCATAATCGCCAACAGCTGAAGGGATGATGTAAATCCGGCTGGGGTCCATGAAGGTAGCAAAAGTACTGTAAGTCCCCATGGACCCTAGCATGGTGGTCTACCTTCAGCTGCTGGCGATCTATAGCCTGTTTTTATCTCGTATCGTTATGTATAGTGCTCTTCTCTTTTATCATTCCGTACTAGTTTTATGTCTTATTCTGTGATGAATATAGTAATTTTACTGTCCTTCGTTGACAGGTTTTTATACAAGTTTCAATATATGTATTATGCTTAATTATTGATAGTCACGATATGGCTGAAATATTGCCGATGTGGCTTAAAATTTAACTCATTCACTCACTCACTCATATTGACGGACAGGCCAATTGCCCGGATAGGCAGGGGTCTATAATTATTATGTGACCATGAGGTGAGATGAAATGAGGTTTCACGTCGAGTTCAAGATTATTGCACTTATATATCGATGTGGATGTGTGTGCGTGTGTGTGTGTGTGTGTGTGCTTGTAATGGTCCTATATAAGATTTTATAGTGCTAGCTCACTATAAGCGAAGAGTCCACCTCACAGTTTAATATGAATACCCCACTCAGGCACAGTATACTTAATCCGAGCCGATTAGTCCTTGTTTTTGCCCCACGCATCAAGGAGAATATTAAGTACCATCTTGTAAGGACTTTTTTTTACGCCGGTGAGGATCGAACCCCCGACCTTCCGATCTCCGGAAATGCTACCGGAGTATTTTTTAGGCCGAAAGGGAGGCGATTCCATTCAAAAATATCATCAGGTGTAATGAAAGCCGTCTTCTTTCTTGCATCCGGATGGAGTGATATTTGTCCAAAAGCACCAGCAACATTAAGGGCACTTTCAATACCTGTCGTTTCACATGTTTTGTAAATGATGGTAATAGTGATGTGGACTGCGTTTTGTGCCTTGAAAACACCTTTAACCTCATCACTAATTTTGAAGTACTTTACAGTCAAGTTGAAAGTTCGCACATGCCATTGACCTAAACTTTGAAATTGACGCGGGGTCACGATGTCATTCCACTGGCAGAAATACCACCTCAACCCAGATACGTTTGGGATGAATCACAAGCTAACCGTTACCGTCAAAACTGGGATTGTTTACCAGAAAACCTTGTAAGTACTTTCAATTCGTGTATATCCAATGATGACAATCAAAAATGCCTTTCCAACATTTCAAAATTTGATTGAATGTTGTGCAGACTTTTGTAAAAAACACCAAGAGAAAAACGAAAACGCATAAGGAAGGGGCATAACTGGTTTGATCAAGCATGTTGGGACGCACGTGTAACCGCTCGCCGTCTTCTCCGTGTTTATCATGATTCTAGCAGTGACAACAACCGACAACGGTACATTGACTCTTGGAGGTCGTACAGAAACAGAAATCGACATCTGTGTTTCAGTGTTATATCACAGACATTAACAATGCTTTATCAACGCATATAGTAGACAGTTCTGGTCTTTATTTAAAAAAAGGTCATTTAAAAGTAATTCAATTTCACCGGATTCTTGGTTATTGCATTTCAATCATTTGTTCCAAGGCATTAATATTGCTGAATGTGAGAAACAGTTTTATACAGATGTACAACATTTTGTAGAGTCTATTAGTGAAGAGTTGATTAACTCTACTGTAGATGACAATGGGTTAGATAGTAGAATAACATTAGATGAAATATTTAAGGCTGTTCATGATATGCCAAATAGAAAAGCCCCAGGGTTTAGGGGTGTACCAACTGAATTCTTTTAATATGCCCCTCCCATGTGTTGTGAAATACTGTTAGCCTTGTTTAATAAAATCTTATTGACTGGTACTTATCCAGAGGAGCGGACTTTAGGTGTCATTCTTCCTTTTCATAAAAAGGGTAATGTAAATGACCCTGGTAATTACAGACCTATTACTCTTTTAGAAATATCTAGTAAAGTCTTTTCTAAAATTATATGTACTAGACTCACCAATTGGGCAACTGATGGAAATGTTATTATTCCTGAACAAGCAGGTTTTCGAAAGGGGTTTCAAACTGTGGATAATATATTTATACTTCAAACTATTGTCATAGCGACTGATTTACGACACCCATTGTCTGAAGAACATTTAATTGCAAAGGTTCATTACCCTGGAGCAATGACATCTATATGCCTTGAAACACTTAACTGCTGTTATTTATAAGACGCCAATCCTAATTGTTAATCCCCATTTATGTGTACATCGACCGTCTGCCATCCTGAACGAGATGTGCAAGTATGTCACTGATGAATTACTGTTTACATTTATATTTAATACTTACTAAATGTCAGGTGACCTCGGCTATATAAGCCTTGGTCCAGAGACATTATTTATATATATTGAAAATAAGGAAAGAAGAAAGGCCTTACCCTTAGCCTAGCTAGGGTTAGGCTGGGTGCTCCAGGGCACCTAAGCAAAAACCACTACCACTATGTGCTGATCTGGCACATAGTGTCTTTTGTATGTATATATCTATATGTATAAAGTAAAACTGTATATACCGCAAGCCATCGTCTCCAAGTTGTCACTTCCTACCATACGTTGGCCCCTTGCATATATACGAGTATGCAAATTGTTCATTAATCAACGTCCAGACTGACACTCGTTGTTAATTTGGTGGAGCTATCGGGTATGACAGACTTCTTAGTCTGTCCTTTCCTGTACCTCTTTGCAGCATGGCATATGGTTCACAATACTGTAGGATATGACAGTCTCTTATTAAAAGGATATACTACCTTCCTGAAGGCCAATCACCAAGAACGAAGAAACGGCCTTTAACAAGATTGAAGAAAGAATAAGAACCCCTCCGATCAAGAACAAGTTCTCCGAGCCAAAACCTTCCTTGCTCGAATATCTTAGCAACACTGCTAAGACTTCCCCTTCAAGATGTCGTTCCTGACCATGACCTAAGAAAAGAATTATACACTCCTATCCCACAGAGACCCGACCACAGCCATCTTCAGGCAGACCCTGCACAATACAGAAACCGCCTCAGGGGCACCTACAAGATGGACACTGTGTACAAGATATATCATGGGGACTTACTAATTTGTGTTTACTTACGTGGACTTAATCAAGGATATATATTGTGTAACTGTTGAATAGTGCAAGCAGGTATGTTTAATCAAAGCCAGTATATTAATGCCAAAATGTGTCTTTCCAAAAATCAGTTGTGTATATGTGCAATATGCTCCAAATTACATCTTTAGTCAAGCTAGATGTTTGAAGTTATTGTGTAGGGAATCTTTGAAATGTCTGCATATATACGAGTATGCAAATTATTCATTAATCAACGTCAGACCACACGCGATGTTACTATTATTGATAAATATCTAAGCTTATATAAAGGTAGACTATACTGTGCCTTTATTGATTTAAAAGCAGCTTTTGACTCAGTGTCACATAATGCTCTGATGTATAAACTTTGGACTGATGATATTAAAGGTTCTGTTTTTAGATTACTTAGAAATATGTATGAAAATGTGAAATCATGCGTATCTCTGAATTCTGGATTTACTAAATTCTTTGACTAATCATTTGGAGTTAGAGATGGTTGCCAGTTGTCACCATTTTTATTTTCATTCTGTATTAATGACATTGTAGATTTTTTTGCAAAAAGATAAGCAATGATGTATTATTAAAGGTACTCTACAGTTATATATGCTGCTTTTTGCAGATGACATTGTAGTAATAGATAGTACATTTATTGGTTTTCAAAAGAGATTAAATAAACTTTCCCAACATTAAGATGAATGGCAGCTGCAAATAAATAGTGTCAAGAGCTAGGAAATTGTCTTTCGCAAAGATGGTTGAATTGGACGTTGTGTCTCCTCCTGAACTAGAAGTGATGTCTCCTCCTGAACTCCTCCTGGCTGCTAAAGCGGTTGTAGTTGCTTTGTTAGGGCGGTCACCATGGGTGATTTCCGTACAGGTGACTCTAACTTGTCCGTCTGTAAATTAGAAACACAATGTAGTCAAAAAAGGGCAAGTGATCGGTACAGTACTGTCAGTTTATGTTATACGGATGAGATATCACCATATGACAAGCGTAACTTACCTCCGGATTCTTTCTCCACTTTAACACAATAGGTAGAATTCGTGTCCTCTTTTTCCGTTGCAATAGTGAGGAAGGCATTTTGTTCAGTTCCTATACTTCCTGAAACTGTTGGCACCGGATTACCACACTGAGCAGTAAAGCCAATGTATGTAGAATATACCACAGCGCCGCATTGGGCAGCTGGTACCACCGGTGCTGACATCCTGACAACAACAGCCCCACCCACTGCATGCACCTCACACACACATTGTCCATGGAAACCCTTGGCTTTGGACCCATCCACCTGTATGGATGTACCTTCTTTGGATTCAGGCTGACAAACATGGACCACTGAAACAACATTTAGCTTGTTTCAAGTAAATTAAGACTATTTCTTGGCTTGTCTCGTCCATTTTTTAGGTTATCTGCTATGTGTTATTCTGTTATCTCCAACATTATAACGAATATGAGTTTCTCCTTTCGACTTGTATTACAATGTTTTCACAGAGAGCAATATACATAATATTTGATGTCATACCTTGCTAATGACATTGATAAGATTTATGCCATGTTATGCCATGTTAAGTGGTAATTGTTCTCTTTTACATAATAATCACCGTAGATAGGCTGCTCTCAGTTGTGATCATTCCCCAGCAAGAGCATTATCAATGTGAGCTTTCATCCTGAGCCGATCAAGATATACCGCGAGATCTGAAATACCGTTCAAAGCGGCGCTAAACCCAAGCCCATCCAGAATTATACTTACCATTATCACCCGAGGGACAGGCTTGGCCTGTTGAGGAGAGAACAAGCAAACAATTAAAGTTTATATGTTTCTTTCATGTACGTTGCTGAGGCAGAAAGTATCGTATACTATCCTGAAGAATAATGTCGATGTCTGTACGATTCATTTAGCGTAATAGCACAATGCTATTGGTAAATCATAAAGTATAGACATATTGTAGATAGATTGCAAGCATGATACAAAGATACAAAGACAGATCAAGCATGTTAATGCGACCATTTCTTTGCATGAAAAGTAATTGTGAAGACACACAAGTGCCATGGTTGTTCAAAGCAGTTCAATTATAGCGAGCATAAATTTAGTTGGTGTTCAAGGCAATTCCAATACATGAAGGATTCTATCAAAGGTTTTTTTTCATCATTTGTTTTCATGTAGAAATGTTTGTGTGACTTGTCAATACATGATATCCTTTGGAATATGCGACTTAACGATTGTGCAATGTGCTCCATGCTGCGTAAACGTCTTTGCACGTAACTTTATGGTCCCGTTGGAATCTCTGCCGATAATACTTATGGTCAAATATCGACACTCTCTTTGTCTCGATCTACGGAACGATATCGCCGGAATGTACCCGAAGCGATGTCTCCTCCTGATTTAGAAGTAGTTGCTGCTGAAGTGGTTGTAGTTGCTTTGTTAGCGCGGTCAACATCGGTGATTTCCGTACAGATGACTCTAACTTGTCCGTCTGTAAATTAGAAACACAATGTAGTCAAAAAAGGCAAGTGATCGGTACAGTACAGTCAATTTATGTTATACGGATGAGATATCACCATATTACAATCGTAACTTACCTCCGGATTCTTTCTCCACTTTAACACAATAGGCAGAATTCGTGTCCTCTTTTTCCGTTGCAATAGTGAGGAAGGCATTTTGTTTAGTTTCTATACTTCCTGAAACTGTTGGCACCGGATTACCACACTGAGCAGTAAAGCCAATTTCTGTAGAAAAGACCAGAGCGCCGCATTGGGCAGCTGGTACCACCGGTGCTGACATCCTGACAACAACAGCCCCACCCACAGCATGCACCTCACAAACACATTGTCCATGGAAACCCTTGGCTTTGGACCCATCCACCTGTATGGATGTACCTTCTTTGGTTTCAGGCTGACAAACATGGACCACTGAAACAACATTTAACATATTTCACGTAAATTAAGAATATTTGTTGACTTGTCTCTTCCATTTTTTGGGTTATCTGCTATGTCTCATTCTGTTACGTCAAAAATTATTACGAATATGAGTTTCTCCTTTCGACTTGTATTACAATGTTTACACAGAGAGCAATATACATATATATTTGATGTCATGCATTGCTAATGACATTGATAAGATTTATGCCATGTTATGCTATGTTAAATGGTAGTTGTTCTGTTTTACATAATAATAACCGCAGATATTATATTTTTTTAGGAAATGAGAAAAGTAAGTGTAAATTATGTACACAAGCAAGGACATGATGTATAGTTTATTTGGAAATGCATATGTAAACCAGACCATATGTTTACGGATACCTTATCAACAGCTTGATAGACATGGTATGTTGTGTAATTGCCATCATAGTAACACCGAACAGTTACAGTTATAGCTACATCGTTGCAACAAACACAATGGAGATTATATTTAATGGATGACACCAAGGAAACAGAATATATCGACATTTTAAACATTATTGCCTCGCTTATTGTAACAATAATGGCAGGCATGGATTCGGTAGCATATACTTGCTGTCCAGGGTTGCGTTTCCTAACAGGCTAGGATCCGCTGATCTTGTGTTCGAATCCAAGATTTCTCTCAGTTGTGATCATCCCCCAGCAAATGCATCTTCAATGTGAGCTTTCATCTTGAGCCGATCAAGATATACCGCGAGATCTGAAATACCGTTCAAAGCGGCGCTAAACCCAAGCCCATCCAGAATTATACTTACCATTATCACCCGAGGGACAGGCTTGGCCTGTTGAGGAGAGAACAAGCAAACAATTAAAGTTTATCTGTTTCTTTCATGTACGTTGCTGCATCTAGTGCATACCCTATGAGGCCGAAAGTATCGTATAATATCCTGAAGAATAATGTCGATGTCTGTACAATTCATTTAGCGTAATAGCACAATGCTATTGGTAAATGATAAAGCATAGACACATTGTAGTTAGATTGCAAGCATGATACAAAGACAGATCAAGCATGTTAATGCGACCATTTCTTTGCCTGAAAAGTAATTCTGAAGACACACAAGTGCAATGATTGTTCACAGCAGTTCAATTATAGCGAGCATAGATTTAATTGCTGTTCAAGGCAATTCCAGTACATGAAGGATTCTATCAAAGCTTTATTTTCATCAATTGTTTTCATTTAGAATGTTTGTTTGACTTGTCAATACATGATATCCATTGGAATAAGCGACTTAACGTAAACGTCTTTGCACGTAGCTTCATGGTCCCGTTGCAATCTCTGCCGATAATACTTATGGTCAAATATAGACACTCTGTTTGTCTCGATCTCCGGAACGATATCGCTAGTATGTAGTTGTTTCAGTTAAGTTGTGCGACAATGTACATTTTTAAATTGCAATATTCTACATGTAGATTTATGCATTGGGTTATATCCTGAAATCGACATTTTCAGATTGAATGTAAAGATATGTACATTAACTTACCTCTCACCCTGTATGGAGACACAAGCAGGAAACACGCTATGCAAAATAAAAGACGAACCATCGCGAAAGTCAATGCGCTCTTCCACCGACCAGAATTACTGATTCGAAAACTAAACGGAAATCCGGCCTCTAAGTACCGGTGCTGTGTCTGTCACCAAACTCTGTAACGATGTTAATCCATCCACGACATTCACATCTGACCACACGGCGTGTTATGTGCATGGCAAATCTTGAGTGTTGGTATAACAGGTAGTGCAATATCCTCCAGCTGCAGGTTACCTATCATTAGTGTAACCACACCAGGTGGTATTATACTGACTCAGGCATATATCAAGTTCTGACGTAGACCTTCTTCTGTAAGTATTCATGTGTTGACACATTGTGTCGTTTATTCCATGGGCTGAAATCCCAAATACTTGAAATTCATAAACATTTCGAAGCTATAAACATTATTGATTGGCAGTTAATACGTGCTTGGCAATAAATATTTGAAGGTTACAATGTTGCGTTATGGATAATCATTCATTGATGTACTCATCGTGCTTGATCTGTAGCCGTTCTATGTATAAAGTTGTCCATGTCGTGTTTATTACTTCATCACAAATGTCATGTAAACTGAAATGGTTATGAAATATACCTATTTTTGTATCACTTTTGTCACTGTTTTCAATTTCTACATCAGACAGCGAGAAAATATCATTTGTAACTCTTCTCTGTATTGAGTTTTCATATACTGTTGCCCAAAGGCCCTTTATACTAATAGCGCGTATCAATTTATATATACAATTCATTATGATGTCACCTCGCTTGAATTGTCATTGTACTTCCAATGCATATGACAATAGTTATCAAATACACGGATCGATGCCCCTGTGTTGGACGAACTCTGTCTTCTTCAGCAAGTGAGAGGAGATGACTACAACGCCACTTGGAGCATAGTTGTTATTTGAATGGCGATCTAAAATGGAAGGAAAATCCAGATGTTTTCTCACAAGGGCTGGGGTGATGCTATCAAACGAAATATAATAAAAGTGGGATATTTGATTGAACGAATAGGGAGGGGCCATTGTAAAGGAAGACACACATATGCACTTGAGATTACTGGCCATGGGGACCCTTGATCTTTTTCGGAAGGTTTCATTCAATTCCGATTTTGGTATAATTATGAAATGATTCTAGACCTATTCCATAGTACATGTTCCACGACACAAACTAAGCCTACTAGTATATACAAGCAATGTGTATATTTAGACGTTCATGGTCAATAAAAAGTACGTTCCGGCGTGAGAGAAATCTGTGATCCTTGTTCGAGCCCCAGTTCGCTTTGATGGGGTTCAAGTGTCAGTCAGCACCATATCCTTGCTCATTGGTTTCACCAGACGCATAACTGGACTTACCTCATATATACGGCTAACACGATGTAACATAACTGAAACATTGTTCAAAGCGGCGTTTCAACAAACGCAATTACTCACTCACATGATTCGGAATGAGGCTTGTTTAACACGGTATTAACAATGGAAACTGAAAGGATAGACTTCAATAGTTTATCTATACCTTCACGACTTGACAATCATAGAGGTACGACAGGCAACAGTGTCTGGTCGTGACAAAGCTGAACCACAGTTCTGGTCGGCGTTAAACTAAACCCACTCACTCACACATACATAACAACATTGGAACGTGGTTTGCAGTGACTGAAGAAGTTCATGATGAAATGTAGTTGAGTTTTAATCGTTTTGTATATATAGTATATTTGAGCAGCACCGAACTGGTATAATGAGCAGGACAAATGGACTCACTTACCAATGGCATACATAATATGCCAGTTAATCTTATAATAGTGGTTTCCTCGGAAAACATATTGCTTGTAATTCTCAGTCAGCTCTATACTTCAAATATCGAAAATGGTAGCATACTTTGATATGAACAGGGGTAGTGACGCGTTCCATTTACTTACAAACTACATACAGGCTCGTTAATCCTGATGCTATTTGATCAGGCGTACATACACGTAGCAACCTCACTTTAGCTACATATTGACGGACAGGCCAATTGCCCGGATAGACAAGGGGTCTATAATTATTATGTGAGCATGGGGTGAGGTGAAATGAGGTTTCACGTCGCGTTCAAGATTATTGCACTTATATAGCGATGTGGATGTGTGTGTGTGCGTGTGCGTGTGCGTGTGCGTGTGCGTGTGTGTGTGTGTGTGTGTGCGCGCGCGCGAGCGCGTGTGTGCTTGTACTGGTCTTATATAAGATTTTATAGTGCTAAGTCACTATAAGCGAAGAGTCCACCTCACAGTTTAATATGAATACCCCACTCAGGCACAGTATACTGAATCCGAGCCAGTTAGTACTTGTTTTAGCCCCAAGCGTCAGGGAGGATAACAAGTACCATCTTTTAAGGACTATTTTGACGCCGGCGTGGATCGAACCCCCGACCTTCCTCTCTTCGGGGGGACGCTCTACCACTAGACCGCGGAGGCGCCGCTGTGGCCTATATGATCATATAGAGGTCATGCGCACTGGAGTACCAACAACTGACAGGTATGCCAGATAGCAACATGTTGTTACAACATATGTACTGCACAGAATGTCAGTTAGACCTTATGAAGATGTGACACAGCTATAATCAATACCAGACCACCTGTGGCGCTTTCTCTCAATATACATGCTAATTAATTGTTGATGGATGTCATTTTGTCAATTTCTCGGACATGGTATTTACAAAGTTTTTAATATGGCCATTCAACAATCAATAACCAGCAACAAAAAAATTGAAGAGTATTGAGGTGATGTGTATGTGTGTGCTCGTGTTTGTGTTTGTGCATGCTTGAATGCATGGGTACATGCGTGACTGCGTGTGTGGATGCTTTTACTAGTCCGAACTTAATTATGCCGGTTTCATAGTGGTAGCCCACTGACAAACCAGGCAGCATGACTCACCCAGACCCTATTTTTAACGCAATGCTAGGTAACAACAAGTACCATCGTTTAACTTCTTTTGGTATACCACGATCACGAATCAGTGATCTCTTCATTTAACATATCATTATCATTTTGCATTTTACTCGAAACTGAGTTTTCTCCGGCTTTGACCATGAATGCCTGCAATATGGAGTTAAGCAGGATGCAAATTTGATGCATTTGATACATTAGATTTGCATCTATATTTTTATAATATAAAACACACACAACAAATATGATGATAAGAAATAGTTTGATTTTAATTCTCAATGAGTCAGTAATAAATGTAACAAAAACGTGCAAATGTTGGAGTTAAATATCACAAATTTACATAAAGTAATTACAGAGAAAGATCTATCTTAGGATTATCCAATTCAGTGCACCCTCGTTGTAGTATTGTCAACACGTAATCTCCAGTCGCTTCATGGTGTAGTGGACAGAGCGCACAGAGGCCTTGTATGACAAGGACACTGTGCATAGCTGTAGTTAACATGCTATGACATCTCCGTTCGTTTTCAGTTATCAATAATATCTAATGGCATCACGGGGACAGCAAAGGAATATAAGTAATTTACTCAGGATGATAAATAGAGAGTATTAGCCGAGTGTGTTTTCTCAAAGTAAATATCTAATTAGTCATACAAACTGTATTGTGGGAGCATTCAGCGATATTGAAAAGGTGAGCGTAATAATATCTTTGTCATATCATGTAATTGTTAAACTAGTGACAGTATTAGACGTATTTTCACTCATTGAAGTAGCTTCAGAAACCATTTAATGTTTGATTGAACCACCCAGTTTACCAAACAGTGCCAAATGACTGTCTAAAAAAACGGGGTGACACTTTGGGGAACTTCAATTTTATCATATTGAGAACGTCATTCAAAACGGACATAGCATGGATGTATGGAGCTTGAAAGTAGTTCCTGCTAGGCGATCACATTTGCATATTTATCGGATAGTAATGCCAGTTTTATCTGATTGCTTTATCGCACCTATAACACTTGCCGTTATACGATAATGCAATATAATACAATAAACCTTATGATTCATTGACATAACACTGAAACAAGCAATATACGTACAGAACATTGTGAATATGAATAGAACCAAGGCATATATATTAGTATTCCTCTTAACACATAAGGTTCATCAGTAACTATATACAACATATTTCTATTTGACATTGATAACACATATACATACATATAAACTTCTGGCGTTAAGAAGAGTTCAACAGGACACACGAGTTAATTTGATCACAGTTCGTAGAGGAACAGGTAAGGAAACACTTCACCAGAGGAACAAAGGTAATTTTGTCCAGCTAGGTATCGTGTGTTGAAGAGGACAAGGTTCTGTAACACTTTACTTTATCCTGTTAGGTATCACAGTTTGTTGAGGATAGGAATATCTATATTGTGGTCTCTACAACCTCTTTCCTCCGGGGTGGGTACAGCCGGTGTATGGCGTTCATTTTAGCCATCCTTCTTAGTCTTGCTTCTTCCTCCTCCCTAAGAAGTCTCTCCTTCAGCCGCTTGTCACTGCAATAAGTATAGACTTATATATATGAACGATGAACCGTGACCAGAGAACCTAGAACCTAAAAATATGATATCACAAGCATTTCCAGCTCCCAAAAATCATGATCATGTGAACTCAGAACCATTGACGCTCGTTGGCAAATGGTCATGTTTGACCTTTGAATGATGACGCTGAATACGTAAACGAGTAGTATTACGGTCCATCCAAATACTTTCAAATGTTCTTACTAATTTTGACGAAATTAAACACGTCTCATTCCGAATCACCTGACTGAGTGAATAGATGGGTGTAACGCTGCTTTTGAACGGTATTCATTTATACCACGGTATTCCTTTATACCGCATCATACAGGAGGAAAGCGCAAAGTAATGCAGGTATTATCACCTTGGTGAAAGCCGCGAACACAGACATGGTGTTGATAAAGAGAGAAATATAATCAGTGCGACTCTGGGGGGCATGGGTGGCCCAGTCGTCTAAGGCGCCGCGATTCGCTGTGCAGAGTTGCGTCCCTTGGGCACGCCAGAAACCTATGATTGTGGGTTCGAATCCTGTTTCGCCCCAATAATGTTTCTAGGTTTGTCAGCACCATACCCGTGCTCGTGGGTTTCACCGAAGTGGTAAACGTCTGAGACCTGCATCACTTCGGGCTTTCCACCCACATTAAGCTGACACGCCGCGATATAACTGGAATACTGTTAAAAGCGGCGTTAAACCCAACTCACTCACTCACTCGCTCAATGCGACTCTGGGTTTTGGACCCTCGATCCTACGTTTCCGTCTCGGCTAAGGGTCGCAACTCAGCTAAACGACTTGGCCACCTGTGCCCTCCATGCCATGCATAACGTGGATGATCATTTGTCATGAGTATGCTGAACGTTACTGCCTAGATACACAAGGGATATACAAATGTTCAAAAGTATCTCACCTGAAATGAACAACGAGACCGAGGAGAAACAGTGTGATAATAATGGCAGACAGGATTCCAACCGTAAGACTACTCACTGAAATTGGGAAAATAATTATTATGAAATCATAAAGAGACATACCAAAGTCACAAGAAAATTAAAAAGCAATATTATAACACTGTAATTTGGACAAGCATTGATATCATATGGACATATTATTTAATTATAGTTCCTATGTTTACAATATGCTATATGTTTCTGTATTATTACTTGAAATATGTTTATGCTAATCTAAAATACACACAGGTTAATTACAGTTATCTCTTTCACATACAGTTTACAGTGAATTATTGATACCATGGACGAATGCGATTCCCATGGCTATACAAAGGGACATTACTCAATATCCATGACCAGGGCAATGGTCAATTCTAGGATCTGCATTGCTTATCATTGATAACATTGCTTAACACGCAGAGTCTATATTGAATATTAAGTAATCATGATATGTCTGATCGATAAACTTCGACCATGAGACGGTAGGATGATCTAACTTGATTGGCTAATTTCCCTAAATTTGAAGTGGTTAATGAACAATCACCATTGCAGACTGCATCACTACACTGAATACATGCGTAAGAAACAGAGTCTCGTATTTAGTTATGGTGAAATGGAGATAAACATATTATGTTTCATATTTTGAGCTGGCTCATTGTTGATTAAACACTGCCAAATGTATTTTGAAACCGAACGTCAAACCTAAAAACAGAATAGGTTTATCTCCTAAATGCAATACAATTACCAAATCTTTTTCGATTTGCTTTTGCCATCTCAGGCGAGAGAGTAGTTTGAGGAGCCTCTAGTGCTGCAGTAGTGAAGTGCGATTTGATGGGGCTGTCACCTGGAATATACAAATATATTGAGCATGACACACGATTCTCTTACATGCGTATGTACTTACTGGTAGGCATATTGATAAGATATAAATGCAGTCAAGATACATGCACGTTAGTAGTTATTCGTGGGTTGAACATAGTTTGGTGCCCGGCGCTATTGTCAATAGCATAAAGGCTCACATGTGTTACCAGGTTGATATTAACAGCAAATACGGACAGACTGATATAATGAATTGTGTAGCAAAATGGAATGGAACTGACATACCTGTTGTTTTTTCAAAATCACCACCTTTCTCGCAGTGAAGACTGAGGTTGCCCGCTGAAAGTAGTTAAGATTTTATAAAGACGTGTTGTGTTGACTTAATTTGACAAACGAGGCAGCATGGCCACGCTCATCTTAAATTCTAACAAACGCATGGCTGATAGTGTTGGCATTTTAACAATTTGATGCAGTATTTATTTATAGTTTATTGTCTTGTCATGAGTTCTTAATAGTGAAACTATTCAACTTAGCAAAATGAAAAAGGTAATGTAGGATATTTTCTCGTTTAATCGTTAGACTTTCTTTACAACGAAGAAAGGGTGATGAGGTAAGGTGACATGGGGTTTTAGCGAAGTGCATGCACGTGTGTGTGTGTGTGTGTGTGTGTGTGTGTGTGTGTGTGTGTGTGTGTGTGTGTGTGTGTGTGTGTGTGTGTGTGTGTGTGTGTGTGTGTGTGCCCAACACTGCCCACATGGATTGTGTGTGTGTGTGTGTGTGTGTGTGTGTGTGTGTGTGTGTGTGTGTGATCTTCGGAGCAGGATGACACAAAGTCAGGCCATGACAATCATTGAGTGCTGAGTTCCTATTTCTCCCAGAACCACCTTATGTAGGTGTGGGGATGGCGTGTAAAACTATTGCGTCGTTTGCCCTGCAGGCGTCTAACGTGTTTCCTGAACTTGCTCTAGGGTCCATGTCATCCTAACGGGACTGCCTCCGTGGTGTAGTGGATAGAGCGTCTGTCAGAAGAGCGGAAGGTCATACCAGAATGGAGACACCAAGAGATGGTACGTGTTGGTACCCTCTAGCGCGCTCGGCACAAGAGGTTAACACAATGACTGGTCGGCTCAGAGTCAGTATACTGTGTCCGAGTAGGGTATTCATGTTAAAACTGCGGCATGGTTTGTCAGTGGGCTAGCTGTATATAATACGCATGCGTCCGGACAAGTACAAGCTGTCACATACACATATAGTTTTGGTTTTAGTTTGGTTTGTTATTTAACGCCGCACTCAGCAATATTCCAGCTATATGACGGCGGTCTGTAAATAATCGAGTCTGGACCAGACAAATCAGTTTTTAATATCATGAGCATCCATCCACGCAATTGAGATCGATGACAGCAAGTCTGACCACCCGATCCCGTTAGTCGCCTTTTACGACAAGCATAGTCACCTTTCACGGCAAGCATGGGTTGCTGAAGACCTATTCTACCTCGGAATCTGCATGGACCTCATACACATATAGACACACAATGCATGCATGTCGCTATATAATTTACTTGTATGCGCAATTATCTTGAACGCGACATTAAATCCCATTTCACCTCACCTCATCCGTACAGCAATGCTTAAATGATGTCATCGCCCCAAGTCGAATTGAGGATATTTCTGAAATTACACAAATCTCGAATATATTAATAAAAGCACTCACCTGAGCTTTGTTGACTTTTTGCTATCCTGACACAGGTATCCGTGCTTTTAAATGCATTCTTTTTTGTCCATGTTATGTTAAGATTCGTCGTGAGGTTAGCAACAACCGAACCAGGAATTTGTCCACATGTGACATTATAGTCTATGGAGGGGAAGTTCAGCACACTTTCACATTGTTCAGCAATACTTTCCACTGAGATGTTTACAACCATTGGCGCAGGGTTGACATCCAAGGTGCAACTGCAGCAACCTGTCATGGCGTACGTCAGAGAGGTGTCTATGTACACAACACTGCCCTCAGCGATCTCGTCGTTACATGCATGGACTACTGAAAAGGGGCATTAAAGACATGCGTTAATTGTAGGGAAAAAGGTATATCATACGTCAAAACAAATCTGTAACCGTTACGTCATTCTATGGCTTAAACAGTCCATTAGTGTTTAGGAATGGACGATTGGTTGTCAATTGTCATCCTGAGCGAATGTTTAAATTATGTACACATGGAGTGGACTGAACCGTTTTTGTTTTGAAACTCGATATAATTATTTCAATAAAACCCGCATGGTACGATTTAATAACGTGTAATGATCAGGGTAACAACAAGTATAATCTTTCAGCCGTCATTTGGTATAACGCGGCTGCCATGGCGCTCTATCTACTCTACCGCTGATGAAGTCCTTACCAACAGACGAGAAAAAATGGTACTTGTTGTTACCCTGCCTGACGCTCGATATTTCATGTAAGATGATAAAACAAGGACTGGTCGACATAGAGTCAGTTAACTGTTTCTGAGTCCCGTATCCATGTTTAGTTGCAGCATGATACCATTTGTATAGCACTGTAAAATCGCCTTTAGTCCAGGACTATTACAGGCAGGCAGACAACATAACAGCATCATATCCGTGCTCGTGGCTTTTACCAAAGTATGAACCATCTAAGACCTGCATCTCTTCAGATTGATTTAACTGTTTCGTTGCTCAAAGCGACGGCAAACCAAACGTTTTCCATTCTACCACGATGTGATTGTTAGTGTTTAAAAAGTTCAGAAGCCTGCTGCCCTTTACGCTGCGTTACATTATAACAAACCTCTTGCTTAAACACACGACATGTATTTTCCGGGGATAGGATTTCTAATTAAATTATAATATACTCTTCGCTGAATATCAATATTTGGAGTGTTGTGCTTGTTAAACCAACGCTAATAAACAATTCAATTCTACAACAACATAAGAGCTGTAACCATAGTAAGGATAAACATTGTTTTGCGTATATCATTGTTCTGATCATGGAAAGGGAAAAGGTGTGATCATAAAAAAACCTTTTCATAATCATTAGAAATATTAAGACGTCAGTTGTACGATTCTGAGTATATCGCGTATCTATGAATAGCTATCAAGTCCTGATGATACCGGGTGTTGGCGAAAACGTGAGCTTGATCCTACCCCACTGGTGGCATCTGTCACACACACACACATGAAGAGTTAAGTCAGGCGTACATTTGAATAAACACGGGAACATATGGCACAAGTCAAAATAGGGAATTGCATACAACATTGTTTTGGTCACTGATGCATCAAATTTAGAATTTTCCTCGACATATCGCATAGTCGTGTGGATATTTTTGTTACTCAGAGTAGGAATGCATATATCTAAACATGAAACAGATTAGGCGATTTCATTGGTTTCTTTTATTTCAAGTTCAGGTGCGTAAATCATAGGAAGAAAATGGCGATATGACCATTATTGAACGCTATAAGATCATTTTTATGCCCCTTCTTATCAGCCTAGCCAAGGTCCTGCCTCGTTTGATATTACACATTCGAGCAGAATTCCGATTCCTGAGCATGGAGAACCAGATTAGAGAGGAGAGGGGCACGATTGTTGCCCATGTGGATGTCTACAGTCCACTTCTTGACCAAATATCCTGTCCAAATAAACTTCAGATGACTTTTTTTCACTGAGTTTGCTAATGTTAAAATGTTAAATTGTTAAATTCAGTTAACAAAACCATCAGAGACTTTTTAAAATACGGGATCATGGTCTTCACACCGATCATGATTGCTGTACAGCTGGTCATTGTCGTTATGGACATACATGGAATGTGGCCATGAACGTCATCAGCCCCCCACACATTATGCTTGTCCAGGAAATAACACTCGAACTAAACATCCACCTAATACTCCTCGTGACATAACAGCTATAATGGATAGCATACTCAATTGTCGACTTCATGCTGCTGATAAATTATACTGGTATGTGGACTTACTGTTGTAGAGTTTATACTTGAATATGGATTGTATGCTAGTATTTTACACTGATAATGGACATTATACTGTTTATAGTCTATATACGTATATTGGTATTCGGATTTTATACTGGCTATTGACGTTATACTGATGAATGGCATTACACGGGTTGCATAATGTATACTGATTATATACTTGGTCCTGGTTATATACAGAGAGACAGACAGAGAGACAGACAGACAGACAGATAGACAGACAGACATACAGACAATTTATTCAATAAAAGGCCGCGGTCCTAAAATACATACATATGCAGGAAACCATAAAGCCTGCGCAACATGACATATTTACAAACTGGGGAAAATTACATTATTTACATCATTATTTGGTGGTTATATACTTTCTGTTGGTACTTACGTTGGTTATATATCATGTATAGTGGTTATATCCTTTTTGTTGTTACTTACGTTGGTTATATATCATGTATAGTGGTTGTATACTTTATGTTGGTAGTTACGTTAGTTGATATCATGTATAGTGGTTATATTATTTATGTTGGTAGTTACGTTGGTTATATATCATGTAAAGTGGTTATATACTTTATGTTGATGGTTACGTTGGTTACATATCATGTATAGTGGTTATATACTTTATGTTGGTATTGACGTTAGTTATATATCATGTATAGTGGTTATATACTTTATGTTGGTAGTTAAGTTACTTATATAGCATGTATAGTGGTTATATACTTTATGTTGGTGGTTCCGTTGGTTACATATCATGGATAGTGGTTATATACTTTATGTTGATGGTTACGTTGGTTACATATCATGTATAGTGGTTATATACTTTATGTTGGTAGTTACGTTAGTTGTATATCATGTATAGTGGCTATATTCTTTATGTTGGTAGTTACGTTGGTTATATATCATGTATAGTGGTTATATACTTTATGTTGATGGTTACGTTGGTTAGATATCATGTATAGTGGTTATATACTTTATGTTGGTAGTTACGTTGGTTATATATCATGTACAGTGGTTATATACTTTATGTTGGTAGTTACGTTGGTTGTATATCATGTATAGTGGTTATATACTTTATGTTGGTAGTTACGTTGGTTATATATTATGTATAGTAGTTATATACTTTATGTTGGTAGTTACGTTAGTTGTATATCATGTATAGTGGTTATATTCTTTATGTTGGTAGTAACGTTGGTTATATATCATGTATAGTGGTTATATTCTTTATGGTGGTAGTTACGTTGGTGACATATCATGTATAGTGGTTATATACTTTATGTTGGTAGTAACGTATGTTACATATCATGTATAGTGGTTATATACTTTATGGTGGTAGTTACGTTGGTTACATATCATGTATAGTGGCTATATACTTTATGGTGGTATAGACCTGGTATCATCACTAGCCACACACACACACACACACACACACACACACACACACACACACACACACACACACACACACACATGGTTATGATATAGTCGAAATCGTGCAATGGCCTCAGGTTTTAGTCGCATTATAATTAGTAAGACAAAATAAGCAACCGTGAAGTGATAATACATACATTGTACCTTTGAATGTATTTAAACGTGTAGTATGTGTCAAGCGACTGTCATGTCATCATAACACTGCAACTCACTCACTCAACTCACTCACACTCACTCACTCTTCCAACACCAAAGCACCCTGTGATAAAACCTCGTGAAATCACGAGGTCAAACAGTGCAATGGTAACCTACTTCTTTCCCTAATGACAAATGTCCCTAGTCTGGCATTATGTATAGAAGAATGACACTGACCTGATTCCAAGCTGGCACAAGCTGCGCCTGCAATTGTACGATGAAACAAATCAATATCATATGTCACTGGAATTACTAATACATGTTAATGCACAAACATCGACTCATCGACCATGACCAAAATATCATAATTGTGGTTTATATTTACATTCCTACAAAAGCACATATGTTTGTGCCATCATTCATTTGCATAACTAAATAGGTATAAAATGTCGTCTCTTGAACTTTACTCCGATTCAATTCAATCTCTATATAATGGAAAGACAGACAAGCTGGGTTTGTAAGGAAGCGTATACACATGTGTGGCACGGAACTTTGCACGTGGAAATGAATGTAGGCTGGATATTATGTAATTGCTGCACCTGTTGCAAACATTTCACCAAGGACATATTTTGTTGACATATATTTTAATGAAAAACTGATAACTCCATTTTGTCTATGTATTCCCATATTTCTTTACACCAGTTTACAATGAACGTGGGTCTCGACCACAGTAAACAGGACCTTATATTTAATACATTAACGGAGCAAACATATGCATGTGTCATTGTGCAAGGTAAATACATAAATAGATAATAAATGAATAAATAGCGGGTGAGAAATAACAACGGAAAATGAGCCTTCGGATATTTACAGAACCCACATGATAATGTTCTATGGTAGGGCGAAAAATAAGAATACATGTCCAAGTTATGCCAGGTATACGTACGCCGATATGATAATCACTACACATCTTTTTTGAATAAAAAAATACAGTTTGAAATACAGCTGAAGATGACAAAAACAAACAGTTTTGTCAATATCCATCACAGGTGTGCACGGAAACTAGACCACGCCATTGAATGAGTACGCAGCATACAGACAATGAGGATAGTACGGATAGTTCAGCCATATTCTATTTAAAATGATTTACCGACAGCATACATATACTGCAGTAATTATAAATACAAGCAATAGTGTACATATTCCTAAATAGAAATTTAACAGGAAGAAGGTAGTAAGAAAACATACGTGTGGATGGCAGGCTAGTAAACATCAACAGAGACAACCAATAGAGAATCATGTCGCCTCATCTCTTGTGTGAAGAGAAAATGGCAGTACTGATAGCCACATGTTACACTGGAGCAGCCCAGCCGGCTGCTGCTCGTCAGCCGGGCCCCAGATCTACTACACTTACATATCATATTTATTACAAATGTATACAACTCATGCGTGTTCAGTAGAAGCGACACCAATGACTATATTTTCTCCTTGGGAGTAATGTTCATTCTCAACATGCATGGACTTTATAGAAGGGTGCAGATCCTGGGACGGCGGCTTTGGCTGATGACTAAATACAATTCAAATACAATTACACCTACATCCATATTTATTGGAATTGGAGTGGGAGATTCATCAATTCTGAACGAATGTTGCAATGGTTCGGTGTCACGATTGTATGAAAATAGAAAACATATGGTGTTGTGTCAAAATGGAGAACTGACAGTTAATAATTCTGGTATATTTACCGTCGACTGGCGTGCAGCAATGTGCAAGAATTAGGCATCCTAGAAGGATCCTCATTGTCCACAAGATTCATCTGGCCTGGTGGTCTGTGGAGATTCCATCAGTGTACAGTATTTCCTCAAGTTCCACCCATAAACAACATGGTGTTTCTTCAGTCACAGTCGTCAAAGTGAGAATGTGTCCACTTAGGAAACCATTTAGCCCTGACATACATCGGCGAGCTGTTATAATGATGGACGTATTATGAGCGCCATAATTACACCGTTGGAGACGACCAAATACATTCTATAGCTAATTGATGCCTAATCATTACGATAATGTTTTTTTTCATTGCCACCAGTACTAAAGCTGCCTCAACATTGCTCTGGTATCGGTGTTGCAATGACCACCAGTTATCATTGATATAACTGATTATGCACCGTCAGTATCGGTGATGGATGCGCTTTGCCCATCCAGAGTTGGGACTGCAGGTGGTCGAAATGTTAATGCCATTGCATTATCAAAAGGTGTACCTTTACACACAGTATTATCAATCTGTATCATAGGCTTCACTATTCACTATAGAATAACTGTGACTCGTGTCACCCACATACGTCGGTTTGTATTGCTATTTATTTATAGGACGAACACTCATATTTTATTGGGAGCCATTGTCAGCTGTTTTTATCCATATGGATGCGATAAAACTAGATTGATTGGAGGAAAGATACCAATCCGAGAGATGCATTACTCACATGCGCATAAATCATATACTTGCCAGCATGTAATTGAAGTATCATCCGGATGGAATGATTTATTACATGTGTAATTAAATATTGTATTGAAACAAAGTGCAATATATACGACAATACTAAGACATAAGACACAGTGATAACCGACTGCCATCGTTACATCTGACTTTACTGCATCTCGCACTGATTTGGAGTTGATGTGAAATAGGGTTTTAATGCGCATTTATGATTAATTCACGTATATAGCGACTCGTGTGCGTGCGTGCGTGCGTGCTTGCGTGCGTGCGTGCGTGCATGCTCGCTTGCGTGCGAGTGCCACTGTGATACCATACCACAGGATAGCACAGATAGACCGGGCACATTATACTGACTTCGACTCCCCGGTCCTACTTTTTTATCCTTAATGCTGGAAGTCTTCTTGTGAAGTATTTGTCGTATGACGCTCCCATACATGTTATCGAACCAAACCTTTCTTCTCTCCGGGCGATGCTCTATCCACTTCACCAGGGAAGCAGTTCACCGATTTGGAACTAATAATTGTAAGCTAGCGTAAAAGCGCAATGCATTAAGCCGCTGACGGAGAGCGCAGCGGAATCCATTGAGGAGGAAAAGTCAAAAGGAAGGGAAAATAGTTTTGTGGTAATTAAACAAGAGAAAAAAATAGTTTTAATCAACATTTGGGTAATACCACAAAATGTGAAAAGCTAAATATAATGGGAAATAATTAAGGGTAATAGAAAAGATACAAAAAGTAATGGATACAAATGAAGCAATAAATAGAGAAAAAACAACAACGGAAACACAAATAAGCATAATAAAAAAATAACCCTGGAAAGAATTTAAAGGAACGTTAAAAGGAAAACTAGTCACGATGCATTTCTACGGTGCCTTGCACGTTGCCATCATTGCTAAATAGCATACTGGACAAGTATACTGCATTTACCAGATAAAAGCAAACCAGCAATAAGGGGAAACAAGTAAGGTACTGATTACAACATTAAAGAGGAAACTAATATAAGGGTAACGCTATTTTCAGGGCATCATCACGTGCAGAAGCTCGAGGTCTTCCATTAACCGCCCGACGAAGGAGGGCAGTTGAAAAGACCTAGGGCTTCTGCAAATTATAATACCCCGAAAATAGCGTTTCCGTTATTATAGCTAAAATGGATGGAATTTGTTAAGAAATAAAAAGAAACAATAATATCGGTTTCGAAACATTTACTGCAATCAACACGAATGTTACTGACCCACTTTTTCAAATATGGAAACGTCATAGAGCAAACATGATGACGTCACTATTGAACGTGACGTCACTACCCTTTGACGTCACCTTACAACGGGCGTGATAATGGCCCGTCGTCAAGGCATATGAGGGCATTATCAAGTTACAGTAGTGACCCGCTGATTTCTGATAAAATGCGGACGGTATATTGATAATTATATCCATTTTAGCTATGACTCTGACAAGAAAACCTACAATCAAAACAGCACATGGGACAGAGTAAATGAGTGAGTGAGTATGTTTTTTACTACTTGCAGCACTATTCCAGCAATAACACGTCGGGAGACATCAGAAGTTGGCTCCACACATTGTACTCGCGTGGGGAATCGAACCCGGGCCTTCGTCGAGACGAGCGAACGCTTTGACCGCATGCTACCCAACCATCACATATGAGAAAATCACACACTTGGAAAAAAATGACGCGACAATATAGGGATTCATAATATTAATAAGATGCCAAAGCAGGTGAGTTGCTTGAAACGTCTTAGACCTACATAACCTCGTCTTTCCTCCCCCTAAAACAGACCGTGAAATGACTGGAATACCATTCATAAAGCCGTTAAACCCAACACACTCACTCACACACTTCATCTCATATATCCACAAGAGCTGCAAATCAAAGCAATAGCTGAGAAACCATGTCCAGTGTCCCCTATAGCTCTGTACATTGAAATTCCAAATTATGACAACCTTATTCTGTACCAAGGAGGAGGGTTCGATTTTCGAAACAGATGTCACCGTCATGATCACGTTGAGCATATACCATCAGCTCTAGCTTATGAAGTCTGCATTTCATATTCCCTGAGGTACCTGAGAGTATGCACATTTTATTCAAATGTCGCGGAAAGTCACATTTTTCTCACAACCTAAGCTTTTTCCAATCAAGATTTTACCATCAAAGGCCTGGTACTAAATACAACATGTCGCTTGTCGGGAATCACACACAAATGCAATGAACATAACATGACGTTTTTACACCCCTGTACCTACTTGCACTTACTTTAATGGATTGGGTGGTCAGACTCGGTAGCTTGGTTGATAGTGTGGCGTCGTGCCCCAAAGGTACTCATTGCTCACGCTATCAATCACTTCTGGTCTGGTTTTGGGTTGTTTTGCGGGCCGCCGCAGTGTCCATGGAGTGTTGCTGGGTGCAGGTCATCGTTGTCCCTTGAACACCTGGTGTCCTTTTCAGAACCATTCATACTGTTTCCATCACTGTCTTGCCTTTATGGCCACATGGAATCTGCTTCGTCATATATTCAAGGCTGATTATTCTCTGGCGTTAACGTTTAGAATTAAACTGGCATTTTAAAATGCTTCAGTACTCTAGACGTCAACTACATGTACAATACAATGAACAATACCTAGGCCTTTTTGCACTTATTCCCCTTAGGGACAAGGTGCATCTACATGTGTGTGTGTGTTTGCTTGAATATTGCCATCTTTGCTTACCAGCGCAATATGGTAAGTGTATGCAAAAGCAAGATTCATATGTAGTAATACTTGTCTATTTTATAGCGTATTAGATATCATATACCATGTGACTGAGTGATCTATTTATAATTATAGATTGAAAATGCATCTCCAAATACATGTAAATATATGATGATATATGATGCAATCATACGGGTACTAAAATGCCACCTGCCGAAATAGATTTAAAAGTTTCCACAACAATCTGTAGCAAATGGAATTACAAATGACATCTCGTTATTACAAATTATATATTTTCTGATGATCAGGTCACTTAAAGTCCCTTTACTAATTTACTAATCGAGCAAATGGAGGAATTATGTCAGCTCACGTCTCTATCTTGATTTTAATTGTGTTTATTGTTTCCATTTCAACGCTACATTGTACAACGCAAACGTATTTTACTTTAGTTTACAAATTTCCCACGGAGGGGATTTTGCAGAATTTCTGACTCGCCTTTCGCCTTTTGTGGAATTTCTTAGTTTCTTCGCGGGGCGACGCAGAACAATTGCGGAATATCTGCGGATAGCAACGGTTATTCAGTGGAGATGTAACGGATTAAGTACTTTTTTCTGGAACGAATTGATCATATGAGCCTTGAGTGTCGGCAGAAGCATTGTGTTCCGTGACAAGGTGTCGCCTGAAAAGCTAAAACCTGGTCTGCGATTAACTGTTGACATTCCAGTTTGCGTTCTTCATATCTCAGCTGATATTAATAATACCACACTTTACTCCTTTGAGTAAATGTTAACATTTCTAAAAGACTGTACAATTTAGGAATAATGGTTTGAACAAAGAGAGAAGATTGTGAATAAACTTATGTGTTACCAAATAGAGAGTTTCCCTTATTTTTCATCGGGAATATATATATATATATTGGTTTGTTGGTTTGTTGGTACTCAGCAATAATATGTCAGCTGAAAAGTGACACTCTGTAAATATTCGGGTCTGGACCAGACAATTCAGTAATTGACATTACATTTGCTATTGGGATAGAATGACCAGACAATTCAGTAATTGACATTACATTTGCTATTGGGATAGAATGACCAGACAATTCAGTAATTGACATTACATTTGCTATTGGGATAGAATGACATTCATCAACCACTTCAGCTAGAGTGACCCACTCTACAACCATACCCAATCTCGTAAGTCGCCTCTCACGACAAATGTGGGTTGCTGAAGGCAAATTCAAAACCCGGATCTTTACAATTATAATATATCGAAAGATAAGTGTCCTGACCCATATAAGAATACGTATACGCAAACACATGCCTGTTTAAACTCAAATTATTCTATTCATGTTTGAATCCATCAATACAACTAAATTATCGTGAACGGTAAAAGTTACTTGGGAGCTCTTGACCAGTTTACCCCTACCCAGTGGTTCATTATGGATGGGCAACTCATGTCAACAGAATCATTGTACTGTGAACTTAACGGAGGTCATTACCTCGGTCAACGCGCTTTCATCGGGTCGTCCCGGGTTTCTAAATCGAAAGCAGGCTATGACAATGTACACCCAGTGGGACTGAAACTGGACGTGCAGCTGTTATAAGGGAGATCATTCATGTCATCAAAGGATCATTTAAAGTGTCGTAAAATATCTGCGCATGGCACTGCTTCTCTAAATTGAAACCGGCTACTTTTCACTGTTGAGTTGATGGACCCTTGAGACTCATGACGAGGAACGACGTGCATTAAAAATGAAATATAAATACTGAAGTGTTTATTTTCATAATGACGATGAACTGTATTCTAGATGAGACTATATAAAAAATACTTGTGGTTTACAAAATTATGACATAAAGCGTTTTACCATAAAATAACATTGGAACATAATGTACAAACGTGTAGATCCACAATGTTTTCAGTGAAAATGGTCTTTTTTACACAATAATGACTCGAGTGAGATGGAATAGTTTGGGAGATGTGCTTCTATCCGGCTACCACTTTGTGACACTGTGACACCATCCTGCACGGGTTTGGTGCTAGCAGTCCACTCAGGTGAGTCTCAGAATGAAATCAACGATCAGCTGATACTGGCAGCAGAGAAGCACAACTCTACACATATAACCGTGGTGCTTTTGACCACAAGGCCCCCTCTCACCAGCCTCTTCAAAATACATGAATATGATTTGAAACATAAAAAAACGTACAAATATATCGTAATAACTGGTGAGTAACAAAATGGACATACATATATTAAGTAACGGCTACAAAAATGCTTAACTAATGAAAATTAGATATCATATGAATAATGAAAAGTATAGAAATACGCAGTGTTAGTTAACGCCTTCATCGAAAACATTAACAATCTAATTTCTATCGTGGCATAACAAAATGACAGTAATAATGTACATATGGACAACAGTTCCAATTCTCCTTGTAACTAGGAGTGTGATATATCATGACCAGCAGTTAAATGAGCACCTGTTTTACAAAGTACATAAACGGCCTTGAAGCTGCGATACGGTCGCAGGCAGCAGTGCAGAGCGAACATTGTTCACAAATTACAGGGAAATCATTGCATATGTTCCTCCTCCGACGCTTCAACACGGACATGCTCTGGCCAGTTATATACAGATAACCTTGTTCATGATGTACAGGAACAGCATTGGCGCTACGACACGGACATGCTCTGGCCAGTTGTATGCAAATAACCTTGTTCACAATGTACAGGAACAGCATTGGCGCTACGACACGGAGATAACATTGTCAGCAATACAGAAGAAACCTTGGAAATGTTCTTCTGATTTACCTTATCACACTGTCACACATTTCACGGTCAGTCAGTATTGAGAATCTTTGTACATAGTGTGTGGCATGCATTTCTCTTTGTTGGTGATCATGATGAATTAACAGCTGTTCAGGTCCTTGAATTGGTTTTGATTCTTGGCTTCCCATCAATCCAGGGAAGGACACGTTACATAAATACGTTGCGTTCATGTCCTTGTTTGTTCCTGTGTCCAGTTATAGGCTGACGTTGATCAGACCGTTGGCAGAACTTGGGGCAGCTGCCACTTGATTGGAACTTGACTTTTTCCTAAGAAAGACAAAGGCATTGCGCAAATAAATATAATGATGTTTTATGCACCTTTTACAACAAGTCGACTCGTGAGGCTGTGATTTGGCCGACTTTCCGGCATGTAACTCCAACAGACTGGTTAATTGCTCAGTTCCCTTTCAGTCACTGGTTTGGCGGGTCTTCAGGCCATGGAAACATAGCCTTAGTATTGCTGATTGTTACCGGAAGTGCAGGACATACTTACCCTCTTACCCTGATTTTTAGTGATTCATTCATATAATTTCTTTTTTAAATTATACGCCCAATGGAATCTGTTTCGATTATTGACGTTATATATTTGCATACCGTTTACACAATCACTCATATATTATATGTCTGCACATTAGTTAAAAATATAAATCATCGTACCATGATGTCACAAAAAATGGAAAATACAATATGACTAACACATGATCATGCGGGGCCTTACATACATGCGTAATCGCAAGCAAGCTGCAATGTATTTGAGACAAGATATCGTACCTGACACGTTTCGCAATGACCATTATTATCGTCAACAGCACAACTATCCCAAAGGCAGTTACCACAATAATGCTCACTGAAAAAAACAATATGAAGTTTATCTTGGGAGTCATGACTATTCAGGACATCGAATAAGAATATTATCTATAGCAATTTGTTTGTGTATTACATTCTAATGTTTCACTTGAAGTATATATCCGTTAACTTCATGATACGAGGGGTGAATGATGTGTCCTGAGCCGCACATAGACATACTTGACCTGCGACATTAATATGATTTATTTTTTAACACAATCCACTTCCAGACTGGTACACGTTTGCCAACAATGTTGGAGAGATTTTATCCAAGTTGAGTGGAATTCTTTCTCTTGGCTCTCCACAAAGTTCCCCACATCTGGCATAACGTCTTCTTTCAAGTCGAAATGGGTTTCGGCTGGAGCTTTCCTCATGTTTTGGTAACTTGGTCTGAAGGAAAGGAGGTGCTGCTGAATGACTAATCTTCAAAGCGACACGCATGCATTTTAAACACTATGGCCATCACTGATCATGATTTGTGCACGTTTCATGTCTGGTCTTTAGGAAGATGGTCCACCGTGATGACATCGCCGACATCCCAGAACACGGATGCCATGATCTGTCTTGCTGACAGGACAGTCTTTGCCTTATATGGCAATATGGCAATATGACGCTTACTCAGACGCCGGTCGGCCATCACTATACAGTGGATTCTCTTGATCTTTTCAGGTGTTGCTGACGTGACAAGTTCCAGGACGGGGGTCGTTTTTAGGCGATCTCTGACAGGCTTAAACTTCTTACAGTGGCACGGAAGGGGCATCATTCCCTCCTGTTGTACTCATATATTCATGGATAGCTGTTGGTGCTTGCCATTTTATCTGTAAGCACTTGGTCACTGCACGCTCCTCAAGTTTGTCCATTTTCGAAAAGTAGCTGATCGCTGCTTATTACACTGACTTGTCAATGCGAAACAATTAGCTCACTTGACTCAATTTCTTATGGATGATATACCTTTTTGACGCCATGTAATGTCCAGTACACAAGATTTCAATATTCGGCAATATTCTGTTAATCACCCGTCGTACGCCAACTCATATCAGTATTGATGTGCAACTGAGATATTAAAAAAAATAACAATGCAAACGGTGTTTTGTCATGAAATATAAACTGTGAGGCCAAAGAAAGTATACACTGGAAAATTATATTTAACCAATAAATACAAACGTTGTCAAAACATACTGAGCTGAAAACAGTCGCCGAAATAGAGGAAACTTAAGGTCCAAAACACAACCATGATACTCGTATCAAATACATCACAATTTCTTGTTTTAGTCCCCATTAAACAAGTGTGTATACTTTCTGATGCATGGCAGTTTACATTCTTCCACGAAATCTGAAACTATTCGATTCACATTAAAAACATACTGTGTGGAACTTACCAATACCAAAACCTTATCATAACAACATTCAAATGCCCATATTATATTACATTTAATGTAATACCATTAACCCATTTATATATCAGCGGTAAACACTTCCTGATTAGCGTTCATGAGGATTGACTGCCTCTTGAAAATTTGTCAGTGACGCAGCCAATCAAATTGTCAAAGGTGACAATGACGATCATTCACAAATGCTTAAGAATCCTTACCAACAATCGTAGAATGGGCAGGAGATTGTTCTAAGGGCGCCTGTTGCGGATCCTTGATGGTACCGTTTCCCCCATCGGTGGTGTTTGTCGGTACAGAAGGGCTGGTAGTGCTTTTCGGTAAAGAGGAGCTGTTAGTCTTTACAGTGGCACCGGTTTTAGTAACCTCACTGCCTGTGCTGTTGGGCAAAGTGGAGGTCGTTGTAGGGGGCACGACAGTAACTTTTAATTTCCCTTCCAAACAGTTTAGGCTTAGAGATCCTGAGATACATGGAAACAGAAAGTGTACACATCATGTAAAGTGAAATATGAGAGGAAATAGGGCCTCCAAAGATTCTGTGTCAATAATGACTTGCTTTATGATAGAAAACCGTACATTGACATGGCTGAATGATGATTGTCCCATCGTGTAACATGTGAATAGAGATTTTGTCTCTAATGGCAGTCATGACTAAAATATACACTCGTTGAATTTTCAGAAATGAGAGATCAATTATATTCATGCACACAAAGATATTGTATTTATTGATGTCTCAATTGTACATTGCACAGAAAAAAATATATCTTAAAATGAATACGGTTATCCTGCTGGAGATCAGAAGCAATCCTAATTATATGATTGATGTCAAATCTCTTTATCACAATAAATGAAAAGAATTTTGCTAGAATTATGCAGAATCATATCTCTGTATCTAACATATTCACCTCATTAACACATGTAAATTGACACTGATTTTGCGCACATTTTAACATAACACCAGAGAAACAGTTCATGTTGCATATAGCCACGATTCATTGCTATGCAGAAGTGGGGGATGTATTGTTTTACACGATATAGGTATGTACGATTTAGCCGATATTTTCAGAAACGATTTACTTCTGATCAGGGACTTCATTTGTCTGTTGAATCATCTTTGGAATCATCTTTGGCATAGGGATTGATCGGAACAATGCAACACGGTATATGTGCACAAAAGCTGATGACTATGATTATTGCATGACATTGGTGTACTTATATGGTGGTAAATAAATTACATGTTGACTAATCAACACACTATTTCCTATGCTGCGACGTACTTCTGTTTTGTCACTGAAAAACGCATATATTACATTTAATTTTGTTTTACCTCCTGATAATGTTTGAACTAAGAGAACACAGAAATCTGCAACAGCATCAGAGCCTTTGGTAAGAGTAAGGAAAACCATCTTTCCTGACTCGATCCGTCCTGTAGTATTTGAGGATGTCCTGTCTGCACAGTTATAGGTGTGATCGATGGACGGTGAGAAATACAGGGTAGCGTCACAGTCTGCATGGGCTCCCTGCACTGATAACTGGAGATCGACATCCCCACCCTGGGCACTCAGTTGGCACACACATCTGCCTTGGTAGTTGACAGCCTTTGCAGTGTCCAGATAGATGGCAGCTCCACTATCAAAGTTTCCCTCGCACATATTCACAACTGAAAGGGGATGATTATCGATGTACTTAATGTTCCGAACGTTAAGTAGACGATAATTAATCATCTATCTTCACCATTTGTGCCGCTTTGGTGAGAAGTTTTAGTTTCCTGATCTTTCAGTAATTCACTTTGATTATGTCCCATGCTTCAGTCGAAAAGCTTTAGTTTGAATATATGCTATTTGATTGGTTTAATTTTACTTGGTTATTGTAGGACTATCTCAGCAAGTTTTCAAATATTCTGAAATTATATGAAATTTTAATTTAAAAGAGAATATCAGACAAACATACCTTTATCTCCAGATGTGGATTGACAAACAGGTTCTGCAACCAACATCAACAATATATATACATCACAGCTTTTAGACACTACTACTAATAGTTTCGATACCAATTAAGTTTCTTTTTTTTTCATAATGTCCAATCCTATAATATATATCAATACATTAACCTAGCAGGACCACAGAACGAAATCCCATACGAAACGGATTTATGTATTTACTTTGTGCAAATTTATTTGTATAAGAAGTAAGTGATTTTGTCCTTCAATGTCCTAAAATTGTTTACTCACCTATCACCTGTGGCTTTTGAACAGAAACAGTTGTCGTATTTGTATCATTTGTGCTCGGTTCACTAGATCCACCTGGATTAACTGCAGAGGTGGTGATGTTCGCAGTTCTGGCCGTCACTCCGCTTCCTGAACTGTTGGCAGATTGGCTAGTTGTAGATGGTTGTGGTTGGGGAGTTGTGGTTGGTTTCGGTGTGCCTTCACTGCAGGTCAAACTCAGAGATCCAGCTGGAATGATTCAGAAGGAACGAAGTCATAACACAATCATTTCAATAAAGTCTGTGCATTAACGAATTACATACTTTTGCGCCACTCTTGTTGGTCAGATGCAATTTAACATACACATTGACAAAGAAAATCGTTTCTATAATAACAAGAAGTCTGCTAGTGGAAAGGTCCGTTGTACAATCCCAACTATATCACGAGCATGTGTTTTTGAGTCACTATCAAGTAATGATGATGATACCAGCTCTTTGCGATAAGGTGAGCCCACCGATAGCACTCTTCACAAACACACGCAAAGGCAAGTCAAATGTTCGCCTGAACAAACACAGGAACATATCATAAAAGTTTCAATATGGAATGCGTCCTCCACATAGCTACCATAAAAACTTGTTTTTATTCATAGCCTTATATTGATAGCCTTGAAACCCTAATGATAACTTTACAAACACATGTGCTTATGGCTTCATTATTCATCACGCTTTTTCATTCGCAATTGGTTTTAATACTAAATAATATATATACTCACACACAAAAGAAACGCAAGTCGAGTATGCAATATACATGCTATTTATTTTCAACAGTAAAAACAAGAAATACAAACAGGGCAAGATTGAAAAAAATGTAACTGAAGACAGTTTAATTGATTAAAAGGCAGAGGACATGATTGTTTTGTTTTTTAAATGTTAAGGGCTTATACAGATTTGGGCAATACCCAAAATGTCAGTCAATACCTGGTGTGATCACTGCCAAACATCTCCTGTACATTGAGTGGATCAGACGATGTGTGCGTAGTTCATCGGCAGTTGTAGGGACTGGGCGCACATTGTGCAGACGCGTTTGAAGCTCATCCCACAAGTGTTGGATGGGGTTCAGATCAGGGTTGAGGGCACGGATGTTGTGTTGTTGCAGAAAGGCCATGGTAGCTCTAGCAACATGGGGACGAGCGTTGTCCCTGCTGGAAATTGTGTTATTGATGTTGTGCAAAAAATGAAACAACGTGGGGTCTGATCACTTGCTCGATATACCGCTGAGCAGTGACGCAGTGTCCCAGGCCTTGCGCAACGCTCAGAAAGCACATGGGTCCAAGTCCAAGTCCAATCCCTGCCCATATCATGACGCTAGGTCCAACCAATAGATCCCTTTCCACAACGTTTCTGTAAGCGAAACGATCACCTCGACGCCGCCAAATTCTGACTCTTCTGTCTGCATGGGAGACACAAAGCGACTTTCATCAGAGAAAAAGACACGCCTCCACTCACGATGACGCCAATTGTGATGACCCTGTGCCCACTGAAGTCGTGCTTGTCGATGCTGTGGTTGGAGAACAGGACGACGTGCTAGTCGGCGACATTTGAGGTTGTTGGAACGGAGATGTCTTATCACAGTGTCCCGGCTAATGTGTCGATTATGTGTTCCTATGGTCTGTCGAGCACTTTCACTTGCAGTTAGGAACGGATGTCGCTGGTGTTGACGGGTAATCTGCCGATCTTGTCGAAATGTGGTGAACCTAGGACGACAGCTCCGAGGAAGGTCATCTGTGGTCTGTGTAGCACTGTATCGATGCAGGAGACGGTAAAGTGTGGTTATGTTAACGTTGAAATGAGGGGCAACATCTTGGACAGACTCTCCAGCTTCCAAACATCCGATAGCCTGGTTTCTCTGAATTTGATTTAGGCGTGGCATTGTTGACCAAGGAGTGGTAGGTCCAAGAATCGGCCACAGTTTTATACCTACTACAGTTCATGACAGTTCGTGAATTTTCGATTTCGCGAGAAATGAGTTCATGATACCCACATATTCATTGAAATGGTGCGTTTTGGTGTTTCGTTTTTTATGTTGCGTTTTTACTCGGGGCTTCCAAAATGCAAACAACAATATTGATAACACCATCAGGCTTCACTAAATCTCGTATCAATTTATGGTTCCGTGTTTGTTACCTATTTGCTTAAAACCACTTGCGTTTCTTTTGCGTGTCAGTATCTGCATCTGCATCAACCATACTATCACGTGCACCATATGTCTTCTGGGGCACAGATGACCCATTTCGTAGGGAACGTTCCAACTAGCCGTGCCAGGATCCTCTGATTGGATATTGGAATTGTATATTCCCACCGACTATGATTCTTAGTTTCTCAGCACCATACCCAGCAAATCAATGTCACCAACGTGGGAAGTCGTCCAATACGTGTGTCACATAGGCATAACACCATAAGTACGGTGACACGCCCTTGCATAACTTAAATACAGTTCAAAGAACATACACATGATATAGTTCGAATCGTACAATTGATTCTGCTACAAAACAGAGAAATATCTCTGGTATGGAAAGGGTTTTGTCGCTTTTATTAATATCATTATGAAAATGTCATCTTTCTTTTTTGAATCATCTTTGGGACATGTGACAGACATGAGGCAGTTTTCGTAGAAACAATGCACAATATTCTCTATTTGTACAATTAGTGATTGTTGTGATTATCGCATGACACTCGGGTTTTGAAATGATGTTAAATCAATTACAAGTTGACCCATCAACACAATATTGTCTAAGCAGTGACGTACGGATATGCCATTACCGAAAAATATAAATATGTCATTGTGAACAATAAAAAAAATAATTTCCAGAAAACATGAAAGTATGACGTGTTTTAAAGATATAGAATACTATAGAAAACAGCTCCCGTGTAATCTCAATTCTATGAAACGATTGAAGAGTTCTAGATCTGGTATCTGACTCGCTTTTGCTCGTCAGATGCCAGAACTATTCACGACTTTAGTATTTTATTTATTACGTGCCGTTTATGTCATTTTTTCTAAAATTTCACTGTTGTGTGTGAATAGGCAGACATCTACGCGATCCACAGCATAACCCAAATGAGTGTAACAGAATAATACATCAAACATATCAAACACGTATTTATTGAATACCACAGCCCAACTTTAGAATTAAGGAGGGCGTTCCACAAAGTTACCGCAGTGCTAAGGTGATCGTAACTCAAACACTTTAACATAGACTTACGACTGCCGTTGCACAACGATCGGCTTGTGGAGCGGGATTCTGCACCACAAAGTTTCAAGCAGGTCACAATACCCTGTAACGTTATTTGTGAAATTTTGTTGCAGGACAAACCGGCGAAACAATGCCATGTGACGTCAGCCCAGCAAAGGGTCGCTAGGGTCATTGAGTGTTCATAAGCTCCTCTCAGTGATCTGTCATTACTACACGCAATGTCATTGAACTAGCTAAGGGATATTGAAAGTTTTCAATATTTGTCAGTGAAACTTCCCGCAGTTTCATAAGCACGCGCTTGGTATTCCACACTGTTTAATACCGGCTTATTGTTACTAAACGGGTGATCTCTTCAGGGGTGAGTAATAAACAGTTATATGTAATAAGGTGTTACCTCCTGATGATGCTTGAACTAAGAGAACACAGAAATCTGCAACAGCTTTAGAGCCTTTGGTGAGAGTAAGGAAAACCATCCTTCCTGACTCGATCCGTCCTGTACTATTTGAGGATGTCCTGTCTGCACAGTTATATGTGTAATCAATAGGCGGAGGGAAATACAGGGTAGCGTCACAGTCTGCATGGGCTCCCTGCACTGTTAACTGGAGATCGACATCCCCACCCTGGGCACTCAGTTGGCACACACATCTGCCTTGGTAGTTGACAGCCTTTGCAGTGTCCAGATAGATGGCAGCTCCACTACCAAAGCTTTTCTCGCACATATTCACAACTGAAAGGTAATGATTATCGATGTATGTTACGAACATACAGAAGAAGATAATTAACAATGTATCTTCATCATTTGTATCGCCTTGGGAGAAGCTTTAATTTTCTGTTCTTTCGGTAACCCTCTTCTATTATATCCAATGCTTCAGACGAAAAGCTTTAGTTTGAATTGATGCGATTTAATTGGTTTAAATTTAATTGATTGTGCCATGAATAATTAACTATTAAAACCAGTGAGTCTTGAAATATTGTGAAGTGATAAGAATATGGTACATCAGACAAACATACCTTTATCTCCAGGTGTGGCTTGACAAGTAGGTTCTGCAACCAACATCAACAACAAGTTTAGACTCCACGTCATTTTGTCTCAACTAAGTACAATATAGTTTTGTTTTTGATTACGAAAGTGTACGGGTTTGTTGTCATGATGCTCATTCCAATAATATTCATCAATAATGATAAAAATTAACATGGGGATGAAACGAAACATCGCAATATACGGAATTACTCATTGCTTTCTGCATAACAGAATGTAGCTTGCAGAATTCACTATGAACTTAAAATAGTTTACTTAACCGATTTCTGTAGAGAAATACAATTTGCAGTCAAGTTAAAAGACGTAGAAACGTTGATATTTATGAATACATTTTGGACACATGAGTGAAAAGAAATTTATTTTGTCTTAAATTGTTAATCTGTACTCACCTTTTACCGGTGGTTTTTGAAAAGAAACAGTTGTATCATTTGTGCGCGGTTCACCAGATCCACGCGGATTAACTGCAGAGGTGGTGATGTTCGCAGTACTGGCCGCCACTTCGCTTCCTGAACTGTTGGCAGATTGGCTGGTTGTAGATGGTAGTGGTTGGGGAGTTGTGGTGGGTTTCGGTGTGCCTTCACTGCAGGTCAAACTCAGAGATCCAGCTGGAATGATTCAGAAGAAACGAAGTTATACCACACTCATTTCAGTTATATTTGTGCATTAACGGATAACATATGCCAATGTTGTTGATGTCATTAGACGTATTTAAGTTTAAGATAACATCAAAACCAATTCCATAATCACGAGACATTGTCGCTAGAAATAGAGTCAATTGTACAATTCGGACTTTATCACGAGTGTCTCTTTATGAATCACTATACATTGTGAATGAATTTCGGTGTTTGCGAAATGGTTGGAGTATCATGTGCACCCGTCACAAACACATGCAAAGGCAAGTTAAATGTTCATCTGAACAAACACAGAAACGCATAAAATAGTACAAGTAACAAATGGAATTGCGTCCTTTCAAAAGGGTTTTTAAAGCTTTATAAGGATATTGATATCGGAGCCTTATATCGTTACACCTGAAGCCATATCGGTAATTTAGCCTGTGATTATGGCTCCAATATTCATCACATTTTTAATTCCATTTGGTATTGCTACTGTATAATATCTATCTATTCATCTACATCAACCATACATCACGTGCATCATTTTGTCTTCTGGGACATGGGTGTGAAATTGGTATACGGTGTTGCCGTACCAGGATCCGCTGATTGGAGCTTAGAAGCTATATTCTCAAGGATGATGATTCTTAGTTCCTGGCACCGTGCACAGCAAATTCATTTTACAAAAGTGGCAAACGTGCTAGACCTGTGTCACATGGAAATATCAGTTTTCGTTACGTAAAGTTTACGTTATATCGCCATTGTATAACTTAAATACTGTCCAAAACGGCGTAAAATGTAATGCACTCATTCATCATTTCCTGCTGCCATACCTCCAGACGATGTTTGCACTATGTGCACACACAAATCGGCTACAGCGTCAGGAGATGCCTTGGACAGGGTAACGTAAACGGTTTGGCCCACTTCGATCTTCCCTGTTGTCGAAACAGATTCCTGTTGTACACAATTAAAGGTATAGTCAATGAAGGGAGCTAGATACAGGGTGGCGTTGCAGTCGGCGTGGACACCCTTCACTGATAACTCGAGATCAACAGCTCCACCTTGCGCCCTGAGTTGACACACGCAGTCGCCTTGGTAGTTCACAGCTTTTGTTGTATCCATATAGATAGAATTACCGCTGCCAAAGTCGCGCTCACACATGTTGATGACTGAAATGTAAATTTGATGCAAGCCATTGTATCTACGTTGCATATATTACATATGTTTGTATTACTGCTACCATAACACAAGATGTTAATCTTAAACCTCTCTAGGCACTCAACATTCTCAGTGCTAACTGTCTGATATCTAGAAGACATACGTTTCATTACCATCACACCAGCATCAGATCATTACCCAATGTGGCCTGGTTACAGAATTTTACCCAACCATTGAGTTGGACTGCCCCGTTTTCATTTATACAATGACATTCGATGTTAATGTTGTGAAAATGAAATGGCACAAGTCATTCCAACAACGGAATCGAAATGGTGCGTGTAACCCAGCTAACACACGACGTTGTCACAGCGTTGGGGAAAGGTTGTGGATTGGTAACGTCGTGATATAACATTGTCACAACGTTATTATCACGTGAACGTGCAACGTTATTTCACAACGTTATAACAACGTTGCACATAAGGGATCACGTGGAAATGCGGTGCCCTAAACCACTCGGTTGCCCATGACAAACATTATGAAAAGATTATCACCAGTATATCACACGAGGTCTGGAATAACATGATAGGACAATGATGTACGTATATACACCGGAGTGCTTCTGAATTCTGAATTCTGACTTACATAATAATCCGACATAGAATATGTCTTTAGCAACCTATGCTTGCCTTAAGAGGCGGCTATGCTTGTCGTTAGAGGCGTCTAACGGAATCGGGTGGTCAGGCTCGCTAACTTGGTTGATGCATGTCATCGTATCTCAAATGCGTAGTTCGATACTCATGACGTCAATCACTGGATTGTTTGGTACTGATCAAATTATCTACAGACCGCCGTTATATCGCGGGAATATTGCTATTTTTGACGTTTTACAACACACAAACAAACAAAACGTCTGGATGAGGAGGTTGCATCAACATACCTTTGTCATTGGGGTCCTCTGAGCAGATGTTGGCTGAAACAGATATCTCCTGTATACAACATTATTTAACATTCACACTGGTTCAGAACTGGCCGATTGGCTGACAGTCTGTAATGTTCTATTTTATGTTTCAAGGCTGTATTTTAGTCATTTTCGTGCGTCTGCTCAGGTGATGAACATTTATTTTCAATGTAGATCTCAACATGTAGGTGACCTGAAGACGCATACGCGCTGAATTGAACTTGGAACCGGGAAACTATGTTTAAAGCAAAATGTGGCGCTTCATCATACTTTACACGCATATATGACAGGCACTGACAGCGCCTGAAGCAAAGTTAAGTTCTGCATTGCACGATGTCCCTGTCGGATATAGAAAGCGACAAATTACAAATACTATGACCCGTGAAGATTCCGGGGTAGAATAGGTCTTCAGCAACCCATACTTGCCGTAAAAGGCGACTATGCTTGTCGTAAAAGGCGACTAACGGGATCGGGTGGTCAGGCTAGCTGACTTGGTTGATACATGTCATCGATCCAAATTGCATGGATGGATGCTCATGCTGTCAATCAGTGGATTGTCTGGTCCAGACTCGATTATTTACAGACCGCCGTCATATAGCTGGAATATTGCTGAGTCCGGCGTTAAACAACAAACAAACAAACAAATACTCTGTTGTCCCTTAACGTTTCATATAGTCATTCAGTTTGTCGATTGCTGTTGTGTTTCGGACCATAAAGTGGTGCTTCACATATGCTGTTGAAATCACAATTATGCATGTAATTGTACATATCGTTATAACAAAATGCTTATCAGTCATGAGAAGGAAGATCAACGGCTGTGGTGTCTTTTACGTTTCGGTTAAGCTTAATGGTTTGGATTGGAAAGTGTTCAATCCCTGGTTCAAACCAAATGGTTATGAATACGAGGGGGTTAACGTTATTAAAGAGGCAACGAATCTTTGTGATAATATGGCCATAGACTTGAAGATGCATACCTGTATTAGGAGGCACCAGACCCCTGCTGACAGTTTGTGTACTAGGCCTTGTAGTTGGAGGCGGAGTCGGCGTCGGCGTAGTTACTGGAACAGAAGTGGTTGTTGATGGTTTCAAGGTCCCCGCATAGCAGTTCAAACTGAGAGATCCTGCAAACAGACCAAAGATGAAATAATAAATAGACGAACATTTTGATGGTCATTCAGAAGTTTCCAGAGTGAGCTAGTAAAATCCGCATCCACAATATTGCAGCCACATAGCGATGAAAACAATGTACTTATTGTGAAATATCTGTTGATAAAGGGCACCAGCAAACAAAGCTAGGCTACAATAATGGGGATCATGGGAACTTACAGTTCCTATTTGAATTTCCAGAAAAAAACAGTACCTATATTATTAATTACTTGTACACATACTATATTTGTTTCACCAGGGAAGGATATGTCACGTTACATATATCTCTGTAATCATGTTATCACTTAACCTCTGTATATCACCACAAGAGACATGCTCAGAAATGGATGCTCCACACACTACTTGGTGTAGATGTCCACACACTGCATGGATATGGATGTCCACACAACGCTGGGTATAGATGTCTCCACTCTACTGGGTATAGATGTCCATACAACAATTGGTATAGATGTCTACACACTCTATTGGGTATAGACGTTTGCACTCTACTGGGTATATGTCCACACAACACAAGGTATAGATGTCTACACACTACTGGGTATAGATGTCTATACTCTACTGGGTATAGATTTCCACACACTATTGGGTATAGATGTCTACACACTACTGGGTATAGATGTCCACACAACAATTGGTATAGATGTCCCCACACTATTGGGTATAGATGTCTATACTCTACTGGGTATAGATGTCCACACAACACTGGGTATAAATGTCTACACACTACTGGGTATAGATGTCTATACTCTGCTGGGTATAGATGTCCACATACTATTGGGTATAGATGTCTACACACTACTGGGTAAAGATGTCTACACTCTACTGGGTATAGATACACATACAACACTGGGTATAGATGTCCATACAACAATTGGTATAGATGTCCACACTCTATTGGGTATAGACGTTTGCACTCTACTGGGTATATGTCAACACAACACAAGGTATAGATGTCTACAAACTACTGGGTATAGATGTCTATACTCTACTGGGTATAGATTTCCACACACTATTGGGTATAGATGTCTACACACTACTGGGTATAGATGTCCACACAACAATTGGTATAGATGTCCCCACACTATTGGGTATAGATGTCTATACTCTACTGGGTATAGATGTCCACACAACACTGGGTATAAATGTCTACACACTACTGGGTATAGATGTCTATACTCTGTTGGGTATAGATGTCCACATACTATTGGGTATAGATGTCTACACACTACTGGGTAAAGATGTCTACACTCTACTGGGTATAGATACACATACAACACTGGGTATAGATGTCCATACAACAATTTGTATAGATGTCCACGCTCTATTGGGTAAAGACGTTTGCACTCTACTGGGTATAGATGTCCACACATTATTGGGTATAGATGTCTATACTCTACTGGGTATAGATGTCCACACATTATTGGGTAAAGATGTCTATACTCTACTGGGTATAAATGTCCACACACTATTGGGTATAGATGCCTACACACTACTGGGTATAGATGTCTTCACACTACTGGGTAAAGATGTCTATACTCTACTTGGTATAAATGTCCACACAGTATTGGGTATAGATGCCTACACACTACTGGGTATAGATGTCTACACTCTACTGGGTATACATGTAGATGTCCATGCTCTATTGGGTATAGATGTCTACACTCTACTGGGAAAAGATGTCCATACAACAATGGGTACATATGTCCACGCTCTACATGGTATATATGTCTATACTCTACTGGGTATAGATGTCCACACACTATTGGGTATAGATGTCTACACACTACTGGGTATAGATGTCTACACTCTACTGGGTATAGATGTCTACACTATATTGGGTATAGATGTCCACGCTATATTGGGTATAGATGTCTACACTCTACTGGGTATAGATGTCTACACACTACTGGGTATAGATGTCTACACTCTACTGGGTATAGATGTCTACACTCTACTGGTTGTAGATGGCCATACAACAATGGGCACATATATCCACGCTCTACTTGGTATAGATGTCCATACAACAACTGGGTATAGATGTCCACGCTCTATTGGGTATAGATGTCTACACTCTATTGGGTATAGATGTCTACACTCTACTGGGAAAAGATGTCCATACAACAATGGGTACATATGTACACGCTCTACATGGTATATATGTCCATACAAAACTGGGTATAGATGTCCACGCTCTATTTGGTATAGATGTCTGCACTCTCCTGGGTATAGCTACACACACAACACTGGGTATAGATGTCCATACAACAATTGGTATAGATGTCCACACTCTATTGGGTATAGACGTTTACACTCTACTGGGTATAGATGTCCACACACTATTGGGTATAGATGCCTATGCTCTACTGGGTATATATGTCCACACAACACTGGGTATAGATGTCTACACACTATTGGGTATAGATGTCTATACTCTACTGGGTATAGATGTCCACACAACACTGGGTATAGATGTCTACACACTACTGGGTATAGATGTCTACACTCTTCTGGGTATAGATGTCCACACTCTATTGGGCATAGATACAACAATGGTCATCCGTCAACTTCTAAGACGTTGTTATCTATAAAATTGTGTCTACCTTGTCATCCGTCAACTTCTAAGTAATGCCTATCAAACAATTTGGCATATAGATGTCCAAATATTACCGCATGTAGTCGTTCATACACTGCCGCATATAGTTGTTCATGAACTAATGCATATTTTTGTTCATACACAGACGCAAATAGGTATTCATACATTCTTCTTTCAGTCACTGGTGCGCCTTCCCGAACTGGATTGTTTACATACCGCCGTGACATACCTGGAATATGTATGTTTTCGGCGTCATAAACATTTACTCTCTCACTCACCTCCAAACGATAGTTGCCCTATGTGCACGCACAACGCCGCTTTAGCGTCAGTGGATGATTTTGTGAGAGAAATAAAGACGACCTGGCCAGGCTCTATTTTCCCTGTGGCAGTAATCGGCTCTTTACCGACACAACTAAACGAGTACTCAATGTGTGGTGATAGCAACAGAGTAGAATCACAGTCAGTTTCATTTCCCCGCACGGATAACAGGAGTTCAACAGAGCCACCTTGCGACTGGAGCCAACACATACAGCTGTCTTGATAATTGACAGCTCTTGCCGTGTCCAGATAGAGGGAGTTACCGTTACTGAAGGAGTTCTCGCACATGTTGACAACTTTAAAAAAGAAATACATAAAGAATTAGAATAAAACCACATTCTTTGACACGTTTTTCTACTTTGGATATGTATTAATATTCAAATTGACAAAATTGAATGCTGTAGGGGTATTTATGTTCGGAAGTCTTTATGGGAGGAAATCAAACGTCTAATACTCACGAATTATAGTACATGTTAATGAGGTGTTTGCAAAACGGTAAAGCATGGAATGTCCTATATGTTCCAATATCCCCCGTTGGGACTCGGGATAAGAATAACGTGGAATTTATATTAGCGGTGCAGCATATGTGGTTCGTAGGAGGCGACTAAATGGATAGGGTGGCAAGGCTCGGTGACGTGGTTTATTGTATGTCATCTTATTCCAACTGCGTGTATAAATGTTCTTGGTGTCAGTCACTGGATTACGTTAAGACGGTCGTCATATAGCTGACATATTGCCGATTGTAGCATTATAACAGAGCAACAAACCAACAGCACCGATTGTGAATTAAGGACAGGACACAAATCAAGTCCCAGTTATTTCCCCGTCCCAATCAAGTTAGTGTCTTCCTGCATCGATCGATAACAGTATTTGTACACTGTCTTAAAAAGAGTTGTAGCAGTAAATTTGAATTATATGTATTTTTAGCAAAAATAAGGAAAGACAATATGATTTAGAGCAGCCGTTATTCCGGCTAGACTGTGTGATACATTAAACACAATATACTATGTCTTAAAGGCAAGGTCACGTATTGATCAAAAGTTACCTTTATCACCCGGGTCAGGTCGGCACACCTGTCCTACACAAACAGAAGAGGATAATATTCCATCATAACGAATTAACGCTACCAGTACTTGTCTACTACAAATGAATATCGATTTTACATACATCCTTTAAATGTGATGACAATAACAATGTGAATCGCTTTGCTGCGTAGACTTGGGATTACTCGTCAAACGGAATATATGCACGAAAACAACACTTTTAGGCGTGGCCCTGATTATTATCTAAATTCGTTTGTGAGCATCATACCCATGCTCGCGGGTATAACCAAAGAGATAAAGTTCCTAAACCTGCATCACATCACATGATATCTTATTAGAAATATATGAACGAACACTGCTGAAGACAGGGTTAAGTCTCACTCAAGTTATATCATATCATAAATATATGAATCAACACTGCTGAAGACAGGGTTAAGTCCAACTTATATGATATCATATCATAAATATATGAATCAACACTGCTGAAGACAGGGTTTAGTCCAACTTATATGATATCATATCATAAATATATAAATCAACACTGTTGAAGACAGGGTTTAGTCCAACTTATATATGATATCATATCATAAATATATGAATCAACACTGCTGAAGACAGGGTTCAGTCCTGCTTACATGATATCATATCATAAATATATGAATCAACAGTGCTGAAGACAGGGTTCAGTGCCACTTACATGATATCATATCATAAATATATGAATCAACACTGAAGACAGGGTTAAGACACACTTATATGCTATCATATTATAGATATAGGAATAAACACTGCTGAAGACAGGGTTAAGTCTCACTCAAGTTATATCATATCATAAATATATGAATCAACACTGCTGAAGACAGGGTTTAGTCCAACTTATATGATATCATATCATAAATATATGAATCAACACTGCTGAAGACAGGGTTTAGTCCAACTTATATGATATCATATCATAAATATATAAATCAACACTGTTGAAGACAGGGTTCAGTCCTACTTACATGATATCATATCATAAATATATGAATCAACACTGCTGAAGACAGGGTTCAGTGCCACTTACATGATATCATATCATAAATATATGAATCAACACTGAAGACAGGGTTCAGTGCCACTCACGTTATATCATATCATAAATATATGAATCAACACTGCTGTTGACAGGGTGAAGACACACTTATATGATATCATATTATAGATATATGAATAAAAACACTGCTGAAGACAGGGTTAAGTTCCACTCACGTTATATCATATCATAAATATATGAATCAACACTGCTGTTGACAGGGTGAAGACACACTTATATGATATCATATTATAGATATATGAATCAACACTGCTGAAGACAGGGTTAAGCCCAACTTATATTATATCATATCATAAATATATGAATCAACACTGCTGTTGAAAGGGTGAAGACACACTTATATGATATCATATTATAGATATAGGAATCATCACTGCTGAAGGCAGGGTTAAGTCCCACTCACGTTATATCATATAATAAATATATGAATCAACACTGCTCTTGACAGGGTGAAGATACACTTATATGATATCATATTATAGATATATGAATCAACACTGCTGAAGACAGGGTTAAGTTCCACTCACGTTATATCATATCATAAATATATGAATCAACACTGCTGTTGACAGGGTGAAGACACACTTATATGATATCATATTATAGATATATGAATCATCACTGCTGACGACAGGGTGAAGACACACTTATATGATATCATATTATATATTATTTTGAATCATCACTGCTGAAGACAGGGTGACGACACACTCACATTGATATCATGTTATAGAGATATAAATCAACACTGCTGAAAGCAGGGGTACATGTCCCACTAACGTGAAAAACGTTCTACTATGTATTCTCTCAAACTTGATATTTGGATGAATATATTCATGTTAAGGTCATCGTGCATAAGTGGTACAGTTTTGTGTCTCAAGTTAATGGTTTTCTTTCCTCATTTCAACATACAATTTCCTTACCTTGTATGACGAAGCAGTGTGACAACAATAAACACAACAAAAGCGCTGTCGTAAGCCCTGTATCCATCCCGGATGTGTCGTGTGTGTAGCAACTCCTTAAAACGTGTCCGTGCGAAAGTTAATCCTGTTTTAAAATCCACTTAATTTAGATGATGCTAGTGGGGATAACATGTGACTTCCGATCGAGTAGACTTTCCTATGGTAAGCTTTAAATTTACTATTGCGGTGTATGCCAATCGCCTCCATGAAACCCACGTGTAACATCTTTTCTGTTGTTGTCGGAGACAGACACAGTTACATTCTGACATTGTTATATCACATATAACAATATCAACTTGGATCAACTTTATTGTCATTTACACGATAAAGCGTCTTAACAATTGCACAGTATCGACTTACAATTATCGCAAGTATAAACTTTATTGATTCCTCGTTATCATAAATTTCCCAGCAATATATGCAACTACTGGCTAATAGAGAAGCCATTATGACTTGAAAGATGCTATTCTTCCCTAGGCGTTTGTGAATGTTCAAATGATTTTCGCCGCAGCATATAAGAAACGGTGTACAGATATATGCAGATGCATCCACCATGTTTTACCAATGATGTTGTCACGATATTGTGCAACAGTATTTGAAGCCCCAATATTACTGACAGGTGGTTGACAATATATAAACCTCTTATTATTATTATTATTATTATTATTATTATTATTATTATTTACAGATTAAAATGAAAAATGCAACAAAGTGGGTTTGGGTGATCCTGGCACAGTCAGGCTGGTAAGGCTCATCAGCAGCTCAGGGCCCTTGCCCCCTCTACACGCAGCCCAGACAGCGAATGGGACTTCTCCCAGGAAGCGCCGCCTTGTCAAATCCACCCAGAACTTTTCGGAGAATGTGACGACTCTCCTTCTGCATCCTTCTGCATTAATGACGCAGATTGTCAGAAGGGCTGTATTCCTTGTACTCTCCCAATGTCAGTCAACAGATTGGGAGGTACAAAACCTAAGGCACCGAGAACAATTATTATTATTATTAGTAGTAGTAGTAGTAGTAGTAGTAGTAGTAGTAGTAGTAGTAGTAGTAGAAGTAGTAGTAGTAGTAGAAGTAGAAGTAGTAGAAGTAGTAGTAGTAGTAGTAGTAGTAGTAGTAGTAGTAGTAGTAGTAGTAGTAGTAGCACCAGCACCAGCAGTAGTAGTAGTAGTAGTAGTAGTGCGGATTAAAATGAATAAATGCAGCAAAGAAGGTTTGGGGGATCCTGGCACAGTCGGGTTGGTAAGGCTCATCAGCTCAGCTCCCTTGTGCCCTCTACACGCAGCCTATGTTAATATTATTATTGAATATTACATTAGATGATAAGTATAGTAGCAGCGTAAAGTACCATCCTCATAAGAGTGCTGTTATCCAGTATTGACGAAGAATTAAATTCTTGATCTGTTAGGTTATAATTGTTGCCCCCTGACACGTATTAGTTAGTCATTATCACCATCTCGGAGAATATGTGTACAGCAATCAGTCACTATGAATAACTAATGGTGACACTACTCAGTAATTGACACACAATCATATGGTGTGGAACATATGATGATGCTATTCAGATGAATGTGGCATTTATCCTGCAGAAATCACTCAATATCCCAAGCTGCCGCACGCCATTGTTGATCAGTCAGATATGGGCGCAGGGACATTGAGATACGTTAGTGCGCCATTTGATGATGATGCTTTGTGCATACACATGACAGTTGTCTTCATGGATGTTGTTAATCCCATCTCACTGATGTAACGTGTTATATTCTATAGAGAATGCTTTGCGATTCGCTACTTGCAATCTTCCTTCAATTTATTAAGATAAAATTGCAGTGATAAATATAGAACATAGTCAACCTATTATTCTCGCGAATGTCTCAGAGCACAGCTAAATGCTCGCGATCTATGAATAACATTTACGTGTACAGGGAACAATTCGCGCAACGGCACTTTGCAAGTTCCACGCAAAGCCCGGAATGGTCTGTGCCTTGCAATTGGCTTGTGTGTAACCTCGAGGAACGTGAAATTCGTGCGGCGATGTTGTATTTAAGTGTATTTGTAGAAGTACATTATCTAAGTATGAGCTTTTAATAAATGACTCAACTCAAGTTCGCTGCTTTGCTACGGTATTTCTGGTGATACCGATACCCTGCCCCCTAGTGAACTGCAACTCGAGACCATTTCTGTGTCAACTGTGTATTGATGTTAATACATTTGACAAGATGACATGTTTTTATCGTTATGTGTATATTTATACACGCGAAAATCACCAGGTAAGTATATGCATCTAACACATGTACATGTATACATACCCGTGAAAACCCAGGCTAGAATTGGTATTCAGCAATGTTTGTCGTAAGTGAGTGAGGGGGTGAGAATGGTTTTACGCCGCTTTTAGCAATATTCCAGCTATATCACGGCGGGAGACACCAATAATGGACTTCACACACTGTACTCATGTTGGGAATCGAACCCGGGTCTCCGTCGTGTCGAGCGAACGCTTTAACCACTAGGCTATCCGACCACCCCACCTTGGAACGAAAGGGTGGTTTGTATTCATTAAAAGATTACACAGTGATATAATCAGGCGTACATGTACATATAGTTAACAATATTATTAACATACACACCCGGATGTCCTAAACTTAAAATTAGAAATCATTTGTATGGATTTGTTCAATCGTATCATTGGTGAGATGCTTTTAGTTCTAAAAAGAATAATAATGAAATGACAACTTTTAGATATTTGTTCTAGTTAAACTGTCACAAAATAGTGTGACAAACATAAGTGAAGGTCAAGAAGGTCAAGAAAAGATATCTTATCACAACTGTCTAGACGTACTGTTGCTGGCCAAGCTATCGAGTTAAACAACTGATTCACAGAATAATCTTTAGAAATAGGAGAAAACATTTATTTTATGCTTTTATGCTTTTCATCGCAATATTCCAGCTATATTCGGCCGCCTCTAGATAATATATTGAGTCTGGACACGATAATACATATAGTGTACCAGGAAAAAACTTCATTGGACATAAACTGCAAATCCCAATATCTGATGATGGCGCTGTTTCCTGTTCTTATGCATATTATGAATGTCGAGTAGCACGTTATATCATATTAGTTTTATTATTGAGAACAATCATTTGGCCTAGAATCTGCTTCAGGCAGAAAATTCGTATGATTATGGAAACTTTTTGTTGCTGCTTATATTATTGTTATAAAGTAATAGCTGTTTATGTAACCTCCGTGAACAGTGGGAAGATATTTTACCTGGGCTTCAATTACTAATTCATGCTATTCATTGTTTTAGTATTAACCCATTCTAAATCCATTTCATTAATTAATTCCACTTTTTATAGATCCAATATGTCAGCCATTATGTAAAACACATGTGTTGATCCTGATCCTAATGAACTAGATTTGAGCCATATAAATTGGCTTTGTGAACCTGAATGGACTTGTTTTCAACTTTCCAAAGAACCACGCAACAATTTACTTGCATTAATTTGTTTTGTCTGCTGGTGAAGAGAAAGTGTTTCGTCAAAGACAGTAAAACTTCCCTCAGTATGCAATGCTGCTGCAACATATTGCTAAGACTGCCGTCCTCGGGTGGTCTTGCGGGATACCATGAACTCTTAAATTCAACCTAGTATGTACAATATGTCCGAAGGCAACATGTATTTCAACAACAAAAGTCCATTTACTTACATCACTAAAAATGTTCAGTAAAGTTGGAGAACGTTTACTTTCTGACCCATGTCCGTGCAGTATTTGTTTATGTGACACAACAAAATTACAAAACTTGTTCGACTATGATAATAAACATAACTTAACCATTATAGATAATTTAACTATCACGACTTTAATCGTTTGATTAAATAAATCGGTATGAGTGTGACTTATCAGGCCAACATGTTAACTGAGGAACAAATCTGTCAAAAAACATCGCAACAGTACTAAAAACTTAACATTAAAACCAGAAGACAAGTCCATTCCGCTTGTGTACTGAATTCCAAAGTTCCATAAATATCCGCACAAAGTGATATGTTGCCGAGGCCATCAAGTGTTAACGTCCTACCTATAACTTGTCTCAAAGATCTAATAGCCATAATCCTTAATGCAATGAAGGAGGGATAATCTTCATATTCACAGAAATAATTTGAGTGTGGGTTGAATGAAGTGTTGGAATGAAAATCAACACCATGTGGATTCTCAAAATGTTTTGTGCAATCTCAGAAAGAACCAAGTTAAATGATCTCAAAACATTTGATTTTTCAACTTTGTACACCACGATGCTAAGGAAAAAAGAGTGTACGATTGTACGATTCCAACTAAATCATGATCATGATCAACTAGTGATGATACCAGGTGTTCGCGAAAAGTTGAACGCATACTGTCCCATCAATGGTCCCCGTCACAAAGACATGCAAAGGCAATTTTAAACTTGAAAAAAGCTCACAAGAACCCAGGATAGAAGTCAAAATAGGGAATTGCGTCGGACATAATTTTTGTCATTGATGCTTCAAATTTGGAAACGTTCTCAACATGTCTACCATAAAACATTTTGCAATCTTTACTGTGGCCTCGAATAGTGAAATTAAACAACTTCTGAGTAGGCATTGTTCTCTTTAAAATCTTAGTAAAAAGAGCATGCTTGATTGTATCACCAAAGGCTGGAGCTGCTAGAATAGTGCTCGACAAAAGGAGAAAGTTGACTTTCTTGTGTATTGTGTTTTGCTACTCTGAATCGTTGTGCATAGACCTAAATATGAAACAGATGAGACAGTCTCCATTATTACTAGTTTAGGTGGGTAAATCAGTGGAAGGTAATTGGCTAAATTGAGGTTGTTGAACGATATCAGATCATCGATATACCTGAAACTTTAGTTACAGTTGAAACAGTCCTCGAGCGAGGGCTTTTACCGAGGTTTTACCTTTACCAAAATACCAGAAATAATATTAAGCAAAATTACATTTTGTAATGGGAAGTTTACGAGATAACCTGTTTTTCCATTGGACGAGAGTTCGGTCACAGGACCTCGAAAGTATGAACGACACATTTTGACTTTCATACGGTTTTCACGAAATTGTGTTTTGGAGATGATATAAACATTAACGGACTACTTCAACATTCCTTGCTTCTGATTATTTAATCTTGGACTTAGTGTTTTGGCGTACATTGGGATACATCAGAGAGTTTGATTGCCTGTCATATTCTCTGT